AAACACAGGGGGAATTGTTTCACGGCCCATCTAATGACTAGCCAAACACAGGGGGAATTGTTTCACGGCCCATCTAATGACTAGCCAAACACAGGGGGAATTGTTTCACGGCCCATCTAATGACTAGCCAAACACAGGGGGAATTGTTTCACGGCCCATCTAATGACTAGCCAAACACAGGGGGAATTGTTTCACGGCCCATCTAATGACTAGCCAAACACAGGGGGAATTGTTTCACGGCCCATCTAATGACTAGCCAAACACAGGGGAATTGTTTCACGGCCCATCTAATGACTAGCCAAACACAGGGGAATTGTTTCACGGCCCATCTAATGACTAGCCAAACACAGGGGAATTGTTTCACGGCCCATCTAATGACTAGCCAAACACAGGGGAATTGTTTCACGGTCTATCTAATGACTAGCCAAACACAGGGGAATTGTTTCACGGCCCATCTAATGACTAGCCAAACACAGGGGAATTGTTGTTTCACGGCCCATCTAATGACTAGCCAAACACAGGGGAATTGTTTCACGGCCCATCTAATGACTAGCCAAACACAGGGGAATTGTTTCACGGTCTATCTAATGGCTAGCCAAACACAGGGGAATTGTTTCACGGTCTATCTAATGACTAGCCAAACATAGGGGAATTGTTTCACGGTCTATCTAAAGACTAGCCAAACACAGGGGAAATTGTTTCACGGCCCATCTAATGAGTAGCCAAACACAGGGGAATTGTTTCACGGTCTATCTAATGGCTAGCCAAACACAGGGGAAATTGTTTCACGGCCCATCTAATGACTAGCCAAACACAGGGGAATTGTTTCACAGTCTATCTAAAGACTAGCCAAACACAGGGGAATTATTTCACAGTCTATCTAATGACTAGCCAAACACAGGGGAATTGTTTCACGGCCCACCTGACGCCTAGGACATATATTGTGACCGGTACCATCAGTATTGGAACTCTGCGCTGGCTCCTGAAGATGAGGACGGAGCACGTATGGGAATGCCCTGAGTGCTGTGGTGTCAATTTTTGACTCAGCTCAACTCAAGAGCGACACCAGGAGAACATCGATCACCTTTTCTTTTTTTTTTTTTTTTTACAATGATCAAGTGCACGTGATCTTAAAAAGGGATTATTCATCAAAACATAGCCACTGTAAGGATTCCTATTTTCAGGCAAATAATTATAACAGTTTTCAGCTAGTGCCTTTAAATACTGACTTATTATGTTCTTGTTCTTCATGTTTACCAGTTGTAAACTCTAGCCGACAGTTTGGTTGTTCATCTACTTCTGGACTTCGGAACTTGAATTTTACGTGCACATCAGTTTTACAGATCGGGTTCATTAACATGCTTGTTAGGGAGGTAGTGTTTAGAGCCATATGCCAGAGCTTACAGCAATATGCCAGAGCTTACAGCCATATGCCAGAGCTTACAGCCATATGCCAGAGCTTACAGCCATATGCCAGAGCTTACAGCCATATGCCAGAGCTTAGAGCCATATGCCAGAGCTTACAGCCATATGCCAGAGCTTACAGCCATATGCCAGAGCTTACAACCAGATGCCAGAGCTTACAACCAGATGCCAGAGCTTACAGCCATATGCCAGAGCTTACAGCCATATGCCAGAGCTTACAGCCAGATGCCAGAGCTTACAACCAGATGCCAGAGCTTACAGCCATATGCCAGAGCTTACAGCCGTATGCTAGAGCTTACAGCCATATGCCAGAGCTTACAGCCATATGCCAGAGATTACAGCCATATGCCAGAGTTTACAGCCATATGCCAGAGCTTACAGCCGTATGCCAGAGCTTACAGCCGTATGTCAGAGCTTAGAACCATATGCCAGAGCTTAAAGCTGGAGAATTAAGAGTCACACAGCTAGTGCAGGTTAAGATTTTTTTTGGGTGCTGGACAGAAAAATTCCGTAATTCTATCGAGGGTTCAAACTTGGTCTTCCTAAACGAGAGCTGGGTTCTTAACTGTTTAGTCATCGGCACCTAAGTGTTGTCCAGCAATTATATTTAACCAGTATCTGTTCATCTCCGTCCCAGGGCATACTGGTGTGAAAGGCAACGAGAGAGCAGACGCCGTGGCTGGCAGTGCAACTATCAGAAATGAGCCATCTTTGGACTGGAGCGACATCATCAGTGCCATACGAAAGACTAAATGCTGTGAGGCTTTGAGCTTCGTGGAAAATGATTTCTCACTTAATAGACTGCATACCATGGTATACCTATTGGAACGACGAGAAGGAAACACCATACGGGAGCCACCCCTTATTATATCAATCAGAACAGAAGTTATTAGCCTAAAAGCACTGGGAGATTTACTTAGGAGGAGATGGGAGCACCTGCGGTCATGTCCACTGTATGATGATGATCTTTAAATGAACAATTAGCAGTGTTCATCTTCATTGACTGTTGCCAGGAAGGAGCACAACCGATGGTCTGGCATCATCATATGTCTGCAACAACTGTAATTTGATAATTGGCTGTATCCTTTACCTGGCCGCACCAAAGTGCAGACGGCTGTCTGTCGATGATATCCGCCTGTTTATTGAATTATTGATGTGCCTTGTTGGCCGTTAAGGCAATTATTTCCGTTCCATAAAAATGTCAGCTGAAATATCTGTGTTATTTCTCTCATTGATTTCTTGTAATGTAGTTAATGCATGTGTGTAATCATATATTGCTAGCATAATATTGTCATCATCATCATCATCATTCTCGGCATCATCGCGGAGCCATTATATTTCCCCTGGTGAAATATCTGCTGAAGTCGATTTCCTAGAGAGTTCATAAAAGCTATATAGAGCCAATCTTAGTTGACAAACTGTTCTCCCTCCAGACCCTGCTTCATAAGTGATCAGATCCCCTCCTCAGTCTCTCCCTCACTGTGGAGCAGCTCATGACACAGATTTTCTGTTGGTTTATTTTTATTCTTCAGTTTCACACATAGCAACCTTGTTTGGGATCGGCCCTTTTCACTTACTATTCTTGCAGTCTTATCATGGCTATAGGCTTACAGTCACCTACAGTTCTCCAGACATCTTGCAGTCTTAACATGGCTGTAGGCTTACAATCACCTACAGTTCTCCAGACATCTTGCAGTCTTATTATGGCTGTAGGCTTACCATCACTTTCAGTTCTCAAGACATCTTGCAGTCTTATCATGGCTGTAGGCTTACAGTCACCTACAATTCTCCAGACATCTTGCAGTCTTATCATGGCTGTAGGCTTACAGTCACCTACAGTTCTCCAGACATCTTGCAGTCTTATCATGGCTGTAGGCTTACAGTCACTTACAGTTCTCCAGACATCTTGCAGTCTTATCATGGCTGTAGGCTTACAGTCACTTACAGTGAGCCAGACATCTTGCAGTCTTATCATGGCTGTAGGCTTACAGTCACCTACAGTTCTCCAGACATCTTGCAGTCTTATCATGGCTGTAGGCTTACAGTCACTTACAGTAGTCCAGACATCTTGCAGTCTTATCATGGCTGTAGGCTTACAGTCACTTACAGTGCGCCAGACATCTTGCAGTCTTATCATGGCTGTAGGCTTACAGTCACTTACAGTGCGCCAGACATCTTGCAGTCTTATCATGGCTGTAGGCTTATAGTCACCAACAATTCACCAGACATCTTGCAGTCTTATCATGGCTGTAAGCTTACAGACACCTACAATTCTCCAGACATCTTGCAGTCTTATCATGGCTGTAGGCTTACAGTCACTTACAGTTCTCCAGATATCTTGCAGTCTTATCATGGCTGCAGGCTTACAGTCACCTACAGTTCTCCAGACATCTTGCAGTCTTATCATGGCTGTAGGCTTACAGTCACTTACAGTTCTCCAGATATCTTGCAGTCTTATCATGGCTGCAGGCTTACAGTCACCTATAGTTCTCCAGACATCTTGCAGTCTTATCATGGCTGTAGGCTTACAGTCACCTACAGTGCGCCAGACATCTTGCAGTCTTATCATGGCTGTAGGCTTACAGTCACCTACAGTTCTCCAGACATCTTGCAGTCTTATCGTGGCTGTAGGCTTACAGTCAACTACAGTGCGCCAGACATCCTATGGCTGTTCCAGAAAAGAAATAAATTTTTAGTGAAATTAAAGATTGAGAAACAAAACATGGCATCGGAATGAGAAACCTAGATTTAACATTTTGAAATGGAAATTTACCATCTGAATTTTGCTCCTCTTTAGCAGAGAACACTTGGTCATTCTGCTGCCACTAGCTCCAAACATAGCAGAACACAGACAGTGAGAATCAGTGGGTTTTCAACCTGCTGTGCACACTTTTCCATGTTCCCTTCTAGGAACTGACCATATGTTGTTTCTTGGAATGGCACCTTGGGTTAATTTCTCACCATTTACCAGCAAGTATCGTCATTTCAGTATGAAAACTGGGCAAAAAATTCAACCACAAATGTCAGGGATTATGTATGTCTGCTGTTTAGAGACATGACAGAGTTTGTGTCTGATGCTTAGAGATGTCAGTGATTATTTCTCATGTAAGAACTTTTTATAGAGAAGCCACTGATTGTGTGTATAATGTTTTAAAGAAGCCACTGATTGTGTGTATAATGTTTTAGAGAAGCCACTGACCATGTGTCCAATGTTTTAGAGAACCCACTGACCGTGTGTCTAATGTTTTAGAGAAGCCACTGACTGTGTGTCCAATGTTTTAGAGAAGCCACTGATTGTTTGTCTAATGTTTTAGAGAACCCACTGACCGTGTGTCCAATGTTTTAGAGAAGCCACTGATTGTTTGTCTAATGTTTTAGAGAACCCACTGACCGTGTGTCCAATGTTTTAGAGAAGCCACTGATTGTTTGTCTAATGTTTTAGAGAAGCCACTGACAGTGTGTCCAATGTTTTAGAGAAGCCACTGACAGTGCGTCCAATGTTTTAGAGAACCCACTGACCATGTGTCCAATGTTATAGAGAAGCCACTGACCATGTCTGATTTGTCCATCTACAGAAAACAAACCTGGGCACTGTGCTAGGAGTCTACCTGCCGTGTATACAGAACATATTTGGAGTGCTACTTTTTCTCCGGATGACCTGGATTATTGGACTAGCTGGTGTCCCAGAGTCTTTCTGCATTGTCTTCATCTGCTGCTCAGCTGTGAGTAGCTCATTGTGTATCCTTGGTGCAGGGTCCTATGGTTTATAAGTGGATCACTGCTAGATTGAATAAGAGATAGTGAAATCACCTTCAGAACAAGAGCTGGCCTCACAGATTGGTTCCCAGTAAATTTATGAGTGAACCGAGGTTTAGACAGAGACATAGAAATAAAATCCAACATGCCAGTAATATGTGGTGTAATCACTTGGAAACAAAATCTGACATGTCAGTAAGGTTACTATAATCACATAGAAACAAAACCCAAATGCCATTAACATTACACATATTCTTACATATAATCTTACAAATATAAAACTAAAAACAGTGAGAAATTCAAAGCAGTTAGATTACTCTTTATGGTTGTATTTATTAGTTTAAAGAATTGTAATGCTGTCTTTTGATTCAACATATTTCTGACTCACCCTCTGCATATTTCTACAGACCGTGAAGTAAGTCTCTCACATGTACATTTGTTTCATTGTTCTGTGTCTCTCATTACAGACCATGAACACGGTCTCTCACATGTACATTTGTTCTGTGTCTCTCATTACAGACCATGGAGACGGTCTCTCACATGTGCATTTGTTCTGTGTCTCTCATTACAGACCATGAAGACAGTCTCTCACATGTGCATTTGTTCTATGTCTCTCATTACAGACCATGAACACGGTCTCTCACATGTGCATTTGTTCTGTGTCTCTCATTACAGACCATGAAGACAGTCTCTCACATGTGCATTTGTTCTATGTCTCTCATTACAGACCATGAACACGGTCTCTCACATGTGCATTTGTTCTGTGTCTCTCATTACAGGCCATGAAGACAGTCTTTCACATGTGCATTTGTTCTATGTCTCTCATTACAGACCATGAACACAGTCTCTCACATGTGCATTTGTTCTGTGTCTCTCATTACAGATCATGAAGACTGTCTCTCACATGTACATTTGTTCTGTGTCTCCCATTACAGGCCATGAAGACAGTCTCTTACATGTGCATTTGTTCTGTGTCTCCCATTACAGACCATGCTGACTTCATTTTCTCTGAGTGCCATTGCCACCAATGGTGTCGTGCCGGCAGGTGGGTCATACTTCCTGATATCTCGGTCTCTGGGACCTGAGTTTGGTGGAGCGGTTGGTCTCTTGTTCTACTTTGGGACTTGTGTGGCAGCTTCCATGTACATCATCGGAGCTGTAGAAATCTTAGTGGTCAGTGTTTGTGTTTGGTACATTTTCTCATCTCTGTGAAATTATCATTTAACACTGTGTTATCTTTGTAAAGTGCTTGTTTGACAACATGTTATCTTTGTGAATTGGTCATTTGACACCATGTTGTCTTTATGATATGGTCATTTGACACCAATTTATCTGTATGATATGGTCATTTGACACTAATTTTTTTTTTAAAGTGTTAATTGGACACCATGTTATCTTTGTATCTTTGTGATGTAATCATTTGACAGCATGTACCTTTATGATATTGTCATTTGACACAATGTATCTTGGTTATATGGTCAATTCACACTGTATCTTTATGGTGTAGTAATTTAACACCATGTTGTCTTTAATATATGATTTTTTTACTCCATGTTATTTTTATGATATTGTCATTTGACACCCGTTATCTTTATGTGATTCTTTGACACCATCTTATCTTTGAGATATGATAACGTTTCAAAATTTTTAAGTGTGATGCAGCTTTTAGCGTAATCTTTTCTCTGATCTCATTGATGGGAGTTTCAGCAATAACCTAACACAACACAGTCCGTTAGGGTCGTGGACGTATATCGATGGAAGCACTAGCACAAAACCTGTCATATTTGTCTTCCGCTTGATGAATAAGTTTACATCAACTTAGTCCTGTCAATTTCTTGTCATTCCAGATTCTTCTTTGCCCTCCTCTTCTTCGACTACCCCCCAATGTTCCTTGAAGTACAGTCTTTGCGATCGCATCATGTCTCACCACGTGAATAAACCAAGCTATCTTGCTTAGTATTCAGTAATACAATGGCTAGATGATTGCCTGCTGACTGAAAGTTACTGGGTTTGAATCCAGATTGAAGTAGACTATTATATCTGACCTGGACTCCTGGGTTGCCGTAGCATAAAATAGCTATCATGAAATTCCCTGGGAAGTAAAGGCAGCCAGCTTGATGTTAACCGTATCACCCTTTAAGTGCCTCCTCTTCTTCATTTGTTATCCACCAACAGATCTGTAAAAGAGATGTGTATGCAAAACTCATATTCTGGAAGAAGACCAAAGTCCAGAAAGGGATGAACAACCAGATTTTTCTGCTGGAGTTTACAGCCAGTGAATGCTAAGGAAAAAGAAGAAGAAGAAGACGCCCCAACAATAGAACATAGACCTCCCCGTGTGGGTTCTGGGGCCCTATTATAGGGAAAACAAGAATAGACCCACTGCCTACCCAAAAACATGTCATAGGAGTCGACTAATTGGGAGCTTCCTTCGAAGTCGGAGTACATCTGCCTGAGAGGCAAGAACCCAGCAGTCTGCATACAAATTAGTTAGATCTACACACGCAACACTCAGGTTCTAGAACAGGACTGCAGTCCAGAAGTGGATGAACAACCAGAACTTTCTGCCGGAGTTTACAGCCAGTGAACGCGAAGAAGAACAAGGACAACATAGACCATCAAGCTACCCAGGCCAAGTCATCTTTATCATGTGACATTACATGCCTCTCACCCCTTGTTCTCCACACCTTTTTAATATCACCCTCTAGCTCCATTCTAATGAAGAAGAATTTGGAGGCAACAGAGATGTGATTTCTGAGACGAATGTTACGAATACCTTGGACGGCCAGAGTTAACTAACAACGATTGCTTGAAAGAGGCTAATGAAAGTAGATCTCTATATACAACAATAAGAAAGCGACAAACACTATTCTTTGGCCACATAATGAGAAGAGAGACTTTGGAGAACATCGTGACAACTGAAAAGATTAGTGGACAAACAGATAGAGGCAGATCAAGAGAGACGATGCTGGATGGGCTGAACATTGGCATGGAGGGATATCATCAAGACAGCTGTTCCAGGCAACCAGGAATCGTGATCTGTGGAGACGCATGAGCGCCTACGCCAGTTGGCAGGGCACATGATGATGAGCTCCATTCTGCATGTGTGAGTTTGCTTAATACCTAATTCTATGTGAATCCTGGACAATGCATAAGCAAGCCCAACAATATCTTGAGGCCTCGGAGATGTCATATTACAGAATAATCTTTAAAATTCCATCGACAGCTAAGAAGAGCAAGCCAGATGTTTTTAAAGAGGCAAGTGCTGGAAGAAAACTTATCACAAACATCAGAAAGAGACAGTCATCATTTTTTGGTCATGTTATGAGAACAGAGAAAATGGATTATGTTGTGACCACTGGAAAGATTTGTGGAAAAAGAGACAGAGGAAGACAGAGCGAGAAAATTCTTGACAGCCTTTTATTATGGCATGGAGGGGTGTCAACACATGAACTGGTAGACAAAATTGCGGATCGCAGATTGTGGAGAGGCATGATCGCCCACGCCAGTTGGTAAAGCACCTGATGATGATGATGCGTACCTTTGTTCTTGTATGTTCCAGTGCAGAGACATTCTAATTATATTGTTCTCTTGTTTTCTCAGCATATGTCCTTATCAACACCATCAGCTTTTCCTCATCTCTTGATTCCCTGGAACTTGTTTAGGTCTCTCCAAATAGGCCTCACATTAGTGAATGTATCATACCACTTAATTCCCTCTTTTCTGTGCAGGTACCACGTTGTAATGATGTTATAAATAGGGATAATGTCAGGGGATGATTGGCATAACTGGGGAAGTCCCTGAGAGCATGGGTTTCACGGAGATATGGTGAAACGACAGGAAAGAGTGAGTCACGTGTGAATGAGGAGATCTGGGGGATTGAGAATCAGGCGGGGATTCGGTGACTGGGCCCCAGAGAGAAAGGATGGGAAATGAAGCTGTGAAGATGAATGGAGAATGACTAGAGCATGTGGATCTGAATCGGCGAGGAATGAATGATCGAGAAGGCCAGCTGTGATGGTACCCTGTTTGATTGTCAAAGCCAGCTGTGAATATGTCAACGTCTATTGTCCGAATGCTGTAAGTGGATTCACCTGTGACTTGTGTATTGAGCTAACGTGTAAATAAACTCGTGAATTGTGCCGCTGGTGTTAACCGTTGTTAGACGTTGTGTGACCATGAAGAGGATCATGTCTGCTGTGATTGAGTTGTGAACCTCTAGACATCAGAGCCAGTGTTAACTCTGCACCACAGATAGCCAGTGTGGAGGAGACACAAAAGGGCAGTCATTACACCACGTAATGAGTGTTTGTAGGTTATTTTTAGTAATTGTTTGAGTTGTTCTGCATGTTTGGGCTCCATACAGCAGTAACAATATCACTGACTGACTGACTGACTTTCTACCCCACCAGGACATCACACAAGCGATAAACACCCGATGACACAAAGTGCCACCATATGGATGAGGATCGCCGCGGAGAGGTCCCAGAAACCGCGCTCAGACATCTGGCCATATCTATGGCCTGCCTATATTGCGGCCCCTGGCAAAAGCCAGGGTGGGGCTTCAAATAACAAAAAAATTTCGTCCTAAAAAGGACGAAACTGAACAATATTAAAATAATATCACATTTGTGCTAAATATTTTAAGTTTGCTACTGGTTTGATTTTTTTTGGGGTAACATCCACAGATTTTATACTGCTAGGAAATGTTCCCCCTTTGCTAGCTTACTTATGGGTAATCATAGGTGCAGATACTGATAGTCTGAAGGGAGGTACTTGGTCTCGAAGCATGGTGTCCGCCTCAAGAGCTGGAGGTCCCGGGTTCAAGCCCCGGTAAAGGCTGGGATTTTTTTCATGTGGACTTCTAGTAATTTCCCCTGGTCTCTAGGTAGTAAGATCTAACACCCGTGTGTAATGTTGCGCACGTAACAAATCCCTTGGCAGTTGGAAATTGAGAAAGAGTAGCCCAACAGCCCTGCCCGGGCAAAATTTGGAGTTAAAAATCTACCTAAAGTATTTCAAGATCCTTGCCGGTGCTACAGAGTTTGTGCATTGCACTGATTTTCTCGGATTCAGGCTTGAGTCAGAAGTAAAACAGATCACTTATGTGTTACTACCGTTGTGCCATGATGTTGATCTGTCGTATAAACCTAAACTGATAGTCTGGTTTTCTTTCCCCAGAACTGGTAGTCAGGTAGTCTGGTAGTCTTAGTTTCAGCTTCATAGCAAACGGGTCGCCCCATCTTTGCTCCGCTCCTGTGCCAGCGAAAAACACTCAGAATGTCCGTTCCCTTGTGGAAAGATTGACAGACTGCTGTCTCAGCATATCTAGCATACACTCGCATTAACGCATATGGTAGCCATCCGAAGTGCTAACACAAACAGTCCAACATTCGAAATGCAGTTCATCATTGATGATAGCAGAACCTGTCGTCAACAGATCAGCAGTTGTCTGCGTGATCAATTTTAATACGGGTCCCGCTAGCATTGAACGACAGGCATCGCGCCATTTTCTGAATCCACAATTCACACCACCACGTTGGTCACAGTCGAAAAAAAAAAAAACATTCCCAATGCAATCCGCAGCTCACAGGGTCACGCCATGCATTCAACTCAGAAGCTGGGCGACGAAACTATATCCAGTCTACAAATGGAGCAAAAATGCATCGGCCACCGTCCGCAGAAGCAAAAAAATTGCCTCTGTTCCGAACGGCGCCGCTGTCTAGCGTCCATTTTAACCGGAATTTTAACCCCAGAACTACATGGTCCCGCAGCTGAACCTGTTTGGTGATGTGTTGATAGTCTAGTTTTCTGTCCCCAGAACTACATGGCCCCACAGCTGAACCTGTTTGGTGATGTGTTGATAGTCTAGTTTTCTGTCCCAAGAACTACATGGCCCCGCAGCTGAACCTGTTTGGTGATGTGTTGATAGTCTAGTTTTCTGTCCCCAGAACTACATGGCCCCGCAGCTGAACCTGTTTGGTGATGTGTTGATAGTCTAGTTTTCTGTCCCCAGAACTACATGGCCCCGCAGCTGAACCTGTTTGGTGATGTGTTCAACAGTTACCGCCTCTTCGGGACAGTGCTGCTGATTCTGCTGACCATCATCGTCATCATCGGAGTGGCCTTCGTCAGCAAGTTTGCAGCCCTCTCCCTGGCTTGTGTCCTCATCTCCATTGTGTGTATTTACATCGGCATTTTTGTTGCTAGCCCTGACAGGAGTATGGAGTGAGTTCAAGCCCCTTTTTATGTTTTTTATTAAGTTCGCTTTTTGATATTTTACAAGAGAGTTGCTGAAGGACAGGAAATATTTTAACCAAATTTAAAAACCAACACTCTGATTAAAATCATACTAGGCAGAAAAGTTGAATGATGAAACAGTTAGTTGAGTATCCTTTCCAGGACGTTGCAGAACCAACCCCAGCATTTTTGAAGCTGTTTGTTTTTCTAGACAAAATTGATGTTCATTAGTTTGCCAGTGCCTTCTGAACAGTTGGCTCTTGATACCACTGTCGAAACCAACGCGAGACAGGCAACTGCCTAATCACCTACTGATGGGATCGAACCTGGCATTACAAAGCGCATTCGCAATGCCTCAGCCACAGATGCCAATGAAGGAAAGCAAACAAGAGGAAATCAAGAAAAAAGAATGCAAGAAGATAAAAACCATCCACATCCTAAATGATCGAAAGATTGGGCAAAACTTGCTGAGGTATTTTATCAATGAAAAAAGCAATTATGGAGGGTTCCCAATTCCTAGCCTCTACAAAGGTGGATAAGGACATTCAACATCATCATCATTATCAGGTGCCTTGCCGACTGGCGTGGGCGATCATGCTTCTCCACAATCTGTGATCTCATTGAACATGCATTGGCTATAAAGGCACATAGGGCTGAAGAATGAGCTAGAAGAGAAAGAGAGACTTTCAGGCGTGCTGTGATAGAAGCTTGGTCTTATCCATTACCATGCTGGCATATCACCACATTTCTTCCCCAGAATATTTATTTCAATCTCAAATTCTCTTCTCCATGTGTTCCTTTATTTATTTTATCCTGTGAGCTCCAGTTTAAGAATATTCAAGTTACACTATTTTTAGGTTGTCCATTATGTATTGCATCCATTCCTCACCTCTTAATTCCTTTGAATTTGTTAATTTTTTCCTACCATATTTGTGATTCTGTTGTATTGCTTAATTTCCTCAATTCTGCAGGCACCACTTATTGTATGAATGTTGTTAATTTGTCATTGTTTTAATCATTCTCCATGTTTCTGCTCCATACTGCAGCATTGTTTGAAATTATTCACAATATCTTTCCTTTGAAGTCAGAGTGCATCTGCCTGAGATGCAGTAAACCAACAGTCTGCATTCAAGTGAATCAGATCTGTAAAACTAATGCACACACAACACTCAGGTTCTGGAGCAGCACTGTAGTCCAGAAGCGGACGAACTACCAGAACCTTCCTCTGGAGTTTACAGCTGGTGAACGCAAAGAAGAAGAAGAACAATATCTTTTATCATCATCATCATAAACCACTTCAACCATTAAGCTTCATGGGGAGGAATAATTTGCGATCCAGTGCACGTTGACAGCCACTGGCTATTGTCATGCCGTGAAGGCGTAGAGTGTCTTTAATGTTGTTGATCCATATTTTCCGTGGCCGTCCTCTTGCTCTTGTAGCTGATTTTCTGAGATGTAGTGCTTGTGATGGTATTTGATCTTGCTGCAATCTAACGAGCTGGCCAAACCACTTGATCTGCTGTTTCTCGATGAATCTAGTACTAGGTGTCGATCACACAATTTGCCTGATTATTTGCCAGTTTCATTATTCACTCGATCTCGGATGGTTAGGTTGGCTGCTTTTCTCAGGCATCTCATCTCGCAGGTGGTGATTTTGCGAATATGGGCTTTAGATAGTGTACCTGTTTGGCACTGGTAGCTTAATGTTGGAATGAATATGCTATTAATAATCTGTCTCTTCGCACTTATAGTTATGCTTGGATGTCTTAATAATGGTGACAATTGGTATATAAGTGCACTTGCTTTGTGACATCTGGTTTCTATTTCTCTGTGAATTCTAACATCTTCTGTGATCATACTTCCTAGATATTTAAACTCCCTAACTTGATTCAGGGGAGAACCATTCAGCTGTATGTGTAGTGGGGCTAGGGGTTCTGCTAACTTGAATATCTTTGGGACTTTATAAAACTGTTTGTTGGCTACTGAGGAAGGAGACTCTTATGCCTTTGCTTTCTACCAGAGTATGTTTCCTGGGAGACCGGCTGCTCACTCAAGAGTCAGTCATGTTCAACGGCTCATTTGCCTGCAATAAAGATGAATCCGGGCCCATTTTCCAGCGATACTGTTCAGACAACACCAGCTCAAGTTGTGATTACTTTAAAAACCCAAACACAAAAGCTCGGATAGTCAAAGCCATACCTGGTCTAGCAAGCGGCATCTTTACAGGTAAGTCTACATGTTGATCTTTGTCTGATGTCATTGTGACATTTCATATCTTTGAAACTTGTGTTGCTGCTGTTGTGGTTGTTTACTGTTGTTGCAATTGCTGCTGTTGTGGTTGTTATTGTTGTTGCAATTGCTGCTGTTGTGGTTGCTGGTGTTGTTGCAGTTGCTGCTGTTGTAGTTGCTGGTGTTGTTGCAGTTGCTGCTGTTGTGGTTGCTGGTGTTGTGGTTGTTACTGTTGTTGCAATTGCTGCTGTTGTGGTTCCTGGTGTTGTTACAGTTGCTGCTGTTGCTGCTGTTGTGGTTGCTGGTGTTGCTGCAATTGCTGCTGTTGTAGTTGTTATTGTTGTTGCAATTACTGCTGTTGCGGTTGTTATTGTTGTTGCAATTACTGCTGTTGTGGTTGCTGGTGTTGTTGCAGTTGCTGCTGTTGTGGTTGTTATTGTTGTTGCAATTGCTGCTGTTGTAGTTGTTATTGTTGTTGCAATTACTGCTGTTGTGGTTGCTGGTTTTGTTGCAGTTGCTGCTGTTGTGGTTGTTATTGTTGTTGCAATTACTGCTGTTGTGGTTGTTATTGTTATTGCAATTGCTGCTGTTGTGGTTGCTGGTGTTGTTGCAGTTGCTGCTGTGGTGGTTGCTGGTGTTTTTGCAATTGCTGCTGTTGTGGTTGTTATTGTTGTTGCAATTAATGCTGTTGTGGTTGCTGGTGATGTTGCAATTGCTGCTGTTGTGGTTGGTACTGCTTCTTTTGTCATTATTGTTAGCATTAACAAGCTGTCCTAGTTGTTCATCCATCTCTGGAATTTGTTCTTGTTTCTGGACTTGCGTGTTGTATGTACAAATCTGGTTTACTGTATGCAGACTGTTGGTTCCATGCCTCTTAGACCGATGCACTCTGGTTTAGAGGTAACATCTGTCCTATCTAGGTTGACTAGGCCCCTTGTAAGGAACTCATTTCTATGACTACTACTTAGAAGTGTAGATAGCTCCTAACCAGTGAAGTGATTTACCTGTGCTTTTAAATGTGTATGTTCTTTGTCATCATTTCCTCTTTCACTGCTGTACTGGATGCTTCGACCATGCTTCTTTCTGGGCCCGACTTTGTTACAAGTACCATTAAATAGTTTGAGGAAAACCTAACTTTGAATGTTGTTTCTAATGGCAAACAGAGAATGTCAAGAGTAGGTATACAGAACAGGGAAAGGTCATTGGTACAGATACGGATGGATCCAAGGACAGAGGAGAAATTGTTGCAGACCTGACCTCGTCTTTCATGGTTCTCCTGGCCATTTACTTTCCTTCTGTCACAGGTAAGGGTTTATTTAAAGGTTTGTTTTCCTAATGACTTTGTTTCCCTGTTAACTTTATTGTTTGTTTCACTGTTAAATATTCTTGTTTGTTACTTGTTAACCAATGTTGTTTGTTTCCCTCTTAACCATTATTGTTCATTTCCCTCTTAACCATTATTGCTTGTTTCCCTGTTAACCATTCTTGTTTGTTTTCTTGTTAACCATTGTTGTTTGTTTCCCTGTTAACCATTGTTGTTCGTTTCCCTCTTAACCATTGTTGTTTTGTTTTCCTCTTGACCATTGCTGTTTGTTTTCTGTTGACAGTTGTGCATCTTCATTGCTAATTTGTATAGAGCAGACATAAACAGCAAATAACAGAATTTACACCAACTTGCTTCATTATCATCATCATCATATACCATGCAAATAAGCTTAGGCTGTCATGTTTTGCTATCTCACACATACATCATAATCAGGAATTAGGTCAGCATTCTTGTCTCGTCCCATCCATATGGCCAAACCATTCAGGTATTTATCTCATTGCCTTCCTGTTGATCTGGCCATTTGCCACCAGGTTCTCAAGTATTCCGTTTCATAACTTGTCAAACAAAAACACCATCTGTCTGTGTCTAATGTCTGTGATCAGTTTACAGTTCCCTTTTGTCTCTATTCTTGCTTCCCCTCGTTTTATTCCATAGTATATCTGGCATTTGACGCATGCGTTGTTTGGGACATATCTCTCGCATGGAGGGCGGTAACATTCATAAGGATTTCTTATATGATGAACTGGTAACAGAGATACGACTTGCAGGAAGGCCAGAACTGTGCTTTAAAGACATATGCAAACGTGGCTTGAAAGATATCAGTATTGGCACAGACACTTGCGAGAAACCAGCAGACTGCATACACATGAGTCAGATCTGTAAAACGGATGCACACGCAACACTCAGGTTCTGGAACACGACTGCAGTTGAGAAGTGGATGAACAACCAGAACTTTCTGTCAGAGTTTACAGCTGGTGAAGGCGAAGAAGAAGACGAAGAAGACTTGGGAGAGATCAGGTGCAGACCGACTGCTTTAGAGGCAGACAGTGCAAGATGGACTGTCACAGTTCAAAAGAGGCCAAACACTGCTGGCTATAGAGAGAAGACTTCTGGGAGAAAACCAGTTTTTGTGCGGACTATGTGGCAGAGGCGGTGTCCGTGGCTTAGGCGTTGCGAGTCAGACTCGTAATCCAACGTACTGCGATCAAAACCCACTGCTGGCTGCGTGGATTGTTATTATGGTATGGGGCGCCGTAGGTCGATCCAGCCTAAAATGGATACTAGGACCCATGTCCTAGGAATGTAAAGATGGCTGGCGTAATGCTGACCACATTACCCATCCAGTGCCGATTGATCTGTACAAATATGGGACACTCTTCCCATATACCCGATGCGCCTTAGGCGTGAAAAGGGATCTTTACTTTTTTACTTATGTGGCAGAGCCTGCCACTCCAATACTGGGTCATAGAAGTCTCAGTTCCTAGAACCAGTGGTACAACACCATGGTCCCCAGGGCTAATGGTTGCCTACATACCTGGTAGTTGGTATGAATTTTAATCCTTCTCTGCTTGCTTCCCTGTCAGGATAGTCAACTTTTATCATTTTTATTTTTTTTTTAATCGATCACCGGCTGTGAATTCCAGTGGAAGGTCCCGGTTAATCGTCCGCTTGGACTTTTGGCTTTCACCTGGACCTGATTTTTGCGTGTACAACCGTTTTTCATTTCCCTGCCTCATGGGCAGCTGTACTCCGACTTCGAAGGAAGACGTCAGGCCTATTTCTAGGTTGACTGTGGCCATTGTTTTGTGTGGGTCGTGACGTTTCCTGATTTGTGTGGTGTCCACTTTGTCCCCTTCCCCTTTTATCATTTCTTCTTGAGACGTTCACCATCCTGATAGCCACACTGTAGAACTCTTCCATCTTGACCCTGAGCCACAGCTACTCATTAGTAGCCAGTACCTGGTCTGTAGAAAAATGACATTCATGAAGCAGATACTCCATGTGGAGACAGGACAAGCCACTTGGTGCTAAGCTCTGTTCTCCAGGACAGGCCACTTGGTGCTAAGCTCTGTTCTCCAGGACAGAACACTTAGTGCTAAGCTCTGTTCTCCAGGACAGGCCACTTGATGCTAAGCTCTGTTCTCCAGGACAGAACACTTGGTGCTAAGCTCTGTTCTCCAGGACAGAACACTTGGTGCTAAGCTCTGTTCTCCAGGACAGAACACTTGGTGCTAAGCTCTGTTCTCCAGGACAGAACACTTGGTGCTAAGCTCTGTTCTCCAGGACAAGCCACTTGGAGCTAAGCTCTGTTCTCCAGGACAAGCCACTTGGTGCTAAGCTCTGTTCTCCAGGACAGAACACTTGGTGCTAAGCTCTGTTCTCCAGGACAGGCCACCTGGTGCTAAGCTCTGTTCTCCAGGACAGAACACTTGGTGCTAAGCTCTGTTCTCCAGGACAGGCCACTTGGTGCTAAGCTCTGTTCTCCAGGACAGAACACTTGGTGCTAAGCTCTGTTATCCAGGACAGAACACTTAGTGCTAAGCTCTGTTCTCCAGGACAGAACACTTAGTGCTAAGCTCTGTTCTCCAGGACAAAACACTTGGTGCTAAGCTCTGTTATCCAGGACAGAACACTTGGTGCTAAGCTCTGTTCTCCAGGACAGAACACTTGGTGCTATGCTCTGTTCTCCAGGACAAGCCACTTGGTGCTAAGCTCTGTTCTCCAGGACAAGCCACTTAGTGCTAAGCTCTGTTCTCCAGGACAGAACACTTGGTGTTAAGCTCTGTTTTCCAGGACAGAACACTTGGTGCTAAGCTCTGTTATCCAGGACAGAACACTTGGTGCTAAGCTCTGTTCTCCAGGACAGGCCACTTGGTGCTAAGCTCTGTTCTCCAGGACAGAACACTTGGTGCTAAGCTCTATTCTCCAGGACAGGCCACTTGGTGCTAAGCTCTGTTCTCCAGGACAGAACACTTGGTGCTAAGCTCTGTTCTCCAGGACAAGCCACTTGGTGCTAAGCTCTGTTCTCCAGGACAAGCCACTTGGTGCTAAGCTCGGTTCTCCAGGACAGAACACTTGGTGCTAAGCTCTGTTCTCCAGGACAGGCCACTTGGTGCTAAGCTCTGTTCTCCAGGACAGAACACTTGGTGCTAAGCTCTGTTCTCTAGGACAGGCCACTTGGTGCTAAGCTCTGTTATCCATGTTTTTGTGTGTGTTTTTCCCCCTTGATATTCATACTATACATGCTGTTTTATGAACACAAGATGCTTTATTGTTAAAATACAATTTCTGTGTGAAAGATGGGTTTTTGAAAGGGCCGCATGTAAGACAGGCTTGCAATGCCCAGTTTGTGACCCTTTCAAAATAAAATTTGTTTGCTCGTTCGTTCATTTGGTCTAGTGGGGATGGTGAATGGGGCATGATCAGTTCCACTACCAAAGATCAGAGATGTTTCAATGTGTTTCTTTGACAAGCTTTGAACTGGAAACTTTGTTCTCCGATGATTAGTCTCTCATAGCCAGTTGAGTTGAAAACTAACACAATAGCACTCAGAACATTCCCCTGAGTGCCTTGTCTCCCCCCCCCCCCCCCCCCCCAATCTTCAGCTGCCAGCTCAGAGTTACAGTACATCGTCTTCAGCAATCGCTGGTCATGCACTGAATCCACTGTGGGCCATAAACTGGGATGTCAGCTCATTTCTTAGGTTTCCTCAAAACTTCTAGAGTCTGTTCTGAACAAAGACATCGGCATAAAGGTGTTTGGCTCATACCTAAATTATGTGAATGTTGTTCAACGTCCAGCTGATTAGTGAAAAAAAAAAAAAATTTGCCTTGATCTGTTCCTTTCAGGTGATTGAAGAAATCTTGTTCATTACTATTTGCTTGACAATGCTTGCAGGAGAAAATATGAATGGACTTTTGATCAGGTGACCCCTAGCACTGTCGGTATGGGAAGTCTTTGTTGACGAAAGAAAAAATAAGTGGAGCATGTGTCCAGTATTGTTATTTCTCCATTGAATCACTTGGTCACTCATGTGATTATTCATTCATGCGTTCTTTCATTTTTAAGACAAATATTAATAAGATAAAGTGACAAGTGAATTGGGGTATATGGTGCTTGAAGGAAACGGCAAGGGTCGACCAGCAAGGTAGCTTACGTACACATGGTGTCACTGACATGTAGGTGTTAAAGTTCACGAGGTGTTACATTTGTTAAGTGACCAAGTGGCATTTGGGCGTGCTGTAGTGGAAATAAAATTCCACAGAAAACCTGCCACATATTGATGGTAGTTGATAAGGAAAAAAACCCATGATCATAAGGTTCATAGGAAACATGGTGTAACCGCTGAAAAAAGCTGTAGGAAAAAGAGACAGGAAGACAATGCAAGATGATTCTGAACAGCCTTTTGTCATGGCATGGAGGGATGTCAACAGACAAACTGATGCATGCTGTTGAAAATCGCAGATTGTGGAGTGGCATGATCACCCATGCCAGTCGGTGAGACACTTGATGATGATTAAATTTCAAAGGTAAAATGTAAGAAGTTATGCTGTGTGTATGTGATTATATTTAATTTCAATCTGTACTTATGTACTCTTTCACTCCGTGACAGGCATTATGGCTGGTTCCAATCGGTCAGGTGACCTCGCTGATGCTCAGAAATCCATCCCAGTTGGCACCATTGCTGCCGTGGCAACAACATCTGCAGTTTGTATCCTTTTCTGATCAGTACTACTGTAAGAGACTAGACTCAACAGGAGATGCAGTCGCATAGAAACTATAATTTACACACACATATTAGAAGAAAGGAGACACAAACAAGAGATTGCACAATGATTGCCTGATAAACTTCATTTATCTCACTCGTCAGGTGCATACTACAGTAACAATATAAATATGGATACATATTTTATAATAAATATGGATTCACAAAATTATTGCTGAATGTTAAATGTTGAATTCAAAATTGATATCACAGCACTCAGAGCACTCCCATAAGTGCTCCATCCCCATCTTCAGCAATAAGCTAAGAGTTCCTTCCGTCTCTCCTTTCCCCTGAGTGGTTAGCACCGACCAGATACCTGTAACTCCTTGCAGTGCCATTCTTCCAGACTATAATGACCTATCTGTGCCTCCACACTGTTCACTCGCTCCAAAAGAGCCCTCACAACATCCAGCTTGTCATACATCAGTTTACCACCAAATGATGCAGAACCGGCCAGTCTATCTGCCTGCTCATTTCCCAACACACTGGCCTACTCAGGAGAAAATATCCAAAGGATGCTAACTATCTGGAACCTGTGAAGTGATGCTTGCCACTCTGCACAGATCATGCCTGTCTCCACGTTTATTGCAGTAATGCAGGAGGTGACCTTTAGGTGTAGTTGATTTTGTATTTCATGTTATTCAGTTGTTACTGCAGTATGCACCTGAAAAGAAACAGAGAAATATGGCAGACAGTAAATTGTTTGTGTCTTCTTTGTTTTAAATTCACAATTAGGAAACATTGCTTTGATTTTCCAACGTTAGTGACTGTACACAAGTTGACAGCAAATGACCACATCTGTGTTCATTATATTTTTTTTTTCAGCTTGGCATTGTGTAGCAGTTGGTACCAGGACATTCTCGTCAGGTGGCCAAACCATCTCATTTGTTGTTCTTTAATGTATTGAATGACTGGTTTCAGGCCTAGTCTCCTTCTAATTTCTTCATTCCTGATGTTATCTCTTCTTGTCACACCGGCAGCTCTCCTAAAACATGTTCTACGCTGCCCCTAAACACAAATGCAGGCAGTGCAGTTTTCATTCTCCTGCTCTAATTTGTTTAGACTTCTCCCAACACAGGCGGGTCTCGCTGGTCACACTCACCATCATCATCATGGGCTGTGGCACTCAAGCCTACCATAGCACTGTATAACAACACTACTGTCTGGAAGGACAGACAGGTGCCAACACACAGCATAGTATAACACTGCTGTGTGGAAGGACAGACAGGTGCCAACACACAGCATAGTATAACACTGCTGTGTGGAAGGACAGACAGGTGCCAACACTTAGCATAGTTGTTAAACATTAGAAGCTAATTAGATGGCTGGTAATATCAGTGAATATCCTATAGTATTTATGTAATTCATTACATGTTTATTGAATTTGAATTTTTCCTATACACCCAAGATATTTCCTGTGTATTTTTCTTTGCTGGTTGTATACAAGGAGATGTTATGCGAGACAAGTCAGTATTTATATACGTATTTGTTTTTTATTTATTTGTATATGTATTTATTTTATGTAGTATTTGTGTGTGTATAAGATGTGTATGTGTGCGGTTGGGGGTGGGGAATAAAGAGATTCAGGAAGATACTGAAAGAAGATAACTGACAACCTTTTGTTATGACTGATTGTCCGTGATCACTTCTGTACATCAGGACTGGCTCTATATAGTTCGGAAGATCTTTCTTTCTCACAATTGACAAAGATAAAAGGCTTCTAAAGAAGTGTTTTGAATGCAGTGTAACCTGTGGTGCTGTTACAAGGGTTTGAAACAAATTCTATCTGTATACTATAGTTGTGGGTTCACGCTGTATGATAGACATGGCTAATGAAGACACCTTTTTAAATGGGTATTTAGTTAGTCATACCTCTAGTACACTTGTCTTGCAGCTAGGCGCATTTGTCATTTGGAAATAAGGGGTTTGATCTCTGGCATGGTAAACTAAAGCTTTCCATGTTTATGTTGACTGGTGTTGTCCTTGTGTCTTTCTGTGAGTGCCAGTCAGTGTCTGCCTATTTTTTCAATATATATCTGTAAGTGTAGACCATTTTGTACATTGTTTTCCTGACACAGTTTGTGCTGCATTTAGTACTGCATTAATAAAGACTTTGATCGAAACATTCGGTTCTGTTTGTATGCGTCTATTCCATTCCCTCGGCTGAGCTTTCTAGTCACACTTTATGTTGTATTTAATACTTCTACAGTGCAATTTAATAGCGAGTAATTTGGTAACAGACTGTTTTGTATGGATTTTAACAATGGTATAAGTGTCGTACCCATCAAAGATGCAAACAGCGGGGAATGGAGAGTGAGAAGCAATAATGAAATTCATAATTTGTTTAAATCACCACTGATTTACCGGCATCATAAGAGCTAATAGACTGAAATGATTTGGACATATTGAAAGAATGTTAGATGACAGAGAAGTAAAAACTGTATACATGAGGGAGATGAATTGTCGTAGACCACGAGGCAGACCAAAAAAATTTTGGAGAGATGATGTCCAGACAGACGTGCAAACACTAGGTGTCACCAACTCGAAAGAGAAGGCCAACCAGAGAGATAAATGGGGGCCGGTGATATCTGCAGCAATGAACCTCAAGAGCTCAGAATGCTGAAGAAGAAGAAGATAAGTGTCATACCATTCACAAAGCTGTTTCAAATTGCTGAACATAAAATACTTAGAAAAGCCAAACAGCAACCGATACATTCTAAGTTTGGTTTACCTTTGTCCTGAAGGGGATAAGCAGCTGTTAGAAGAGTGTCTGGCAGACCCTTCTGCTGAACCTTTCTCTCCAGACCATGGTGATCTTTACACTCTTCCACAGTGTTTGCTGGCTGCCAGAGAGCCTTAGCAAAAAAACTGAATGTGCCTGGTGTGTTTTGCAGATATGGTGAGAGCATTGGTGGAATGCTGATTGTGGGGAAACTTGCCTGGCCACATGAATGGGTGATTATCATTGGAGCTTTCCTGGCATCAGTGGGTGCTGGACTTCAGAGTCTTACAGGTTTGTGCTTTTCTGAGTTTCTGTGGGTATTTTCGTCACCTTCTTTTCTTGTTTTTTTTTTTTATTTTTTTATTTCAGCACGTACAGCTTTGGTTATCAAGAGACATACAGAGTTCTGGTTCTAACTCTGCTGGTGTTTCAGTGTTTCAGTTTTTATGTGGGTTTATTGTTGTTATTTTCACCCTTTCATGTTTTTCATGTTTTTTTTTTTTTTTAGCTGTGGATGTCATGAAACAGAGTTCTGACTTTCACTCTAGAGAATCTTACAGATGTTATTAAAATCTATTTGGAATTTTTTAAAGTTTTTTTTATTTGTTTGTATCCTCTACTTCTTTACTTAATCTTTTTGTACTTTCAGGCATCAAACTCGATTCAGGGTTCTAGTTCTGGTAGTCACAGCCATAGATAGAATGGTTTGAAAAAAAAAAAAGGAAAGGTCTTTTTCACACCTTGAGGCGTATAGGGCATATAGGTCTATACCTATATTTTTGTAGACCAATCGGCACAAGATGAGTGATGTGGTCAGCATCATGCCGGCCGCCTTTACTTCCTGATACCTACTCAAGGCTGGGTTGACCTGGGAGTTGAGGTCATTTTTTGAAAAGGTCCATCTCCACCAGGGAGCAGATACTTGATACTGTTGTAGAATTTCTCTTAGGTTTTCTTTCTGCTTTGTCCTTGGTCTATCTTAGGCCCTATTTCCATCTCCTCTCTTGGTGTACATCCATTGGGAGCTAACAGACAAGAGAAGAAGATTTTAGGCTGAGTCAGTGTGGTTTACTGTGTATTTTATTTTGATGTCTTCCGAGTTTAAATGCTAATTCTTTATTATCTCCTTTATCTTCAGGTGCACCCAGATTGTTCCAGGCCATTGCTAAAGACAATATTGTACCTTTCCTGCATGTCTTCAGTGTCAGCACAAAACACGGAGAACCTCTTCGGGCCCTGCTTCTCACAGCTTGTATCACCTTGATTGGCATCATGATTGGTAACCTGGACAATATTGCTCCAATCATAACAATGTGAGTTGGTTGCACATGGATAATGTTTAGGGTCAGGTTGAGCTGTTTGCCTAAAGCTATAGAGGCTGCTGTTCCCAACAATTTTTGAGTGGTGACCCCAGTTTTGTAGAGGTACTACTTTGGCCGGTGACCGCATGCATGAAATAAAGGCTTTTAAAAAGGGTAAATGAAAGCACTGAACGCACCGAAAACCACTTGGACAGATTTCCCATTTTGGGTTCCAGGGCAGCATTTTGGAGAAGAGAGTATACGCCCTCATAGGAGGTTATTAATTAGGGGTGTTCCCTTCAAAACTGGAATGCCTCTAGTATAATTCAGAATAATGTTAAATTGCGACATATTTAATGTGATGATTGAAATTTTAAGTTGTTAATGTGTTTACAAATTTTGCAGTAAAGTTTTCATTAATGCTAACCTTATGTCATTTTGAACCTCCTTTCTTTTTCTTGTTTTCATTTTCAACTGAAGAAGCATTGAAAATTTGCAGCACCCTTATTCCACAAACAAAACTCTGTGCAGGACGTGATTATTTGATTTTCCCTTTTTCCTTTAAAAAAATATTGTACAGCTTAGCACTGCTGGTGACCCCACAGAAAATCCGTCATGATACCACTTGGATTGCAATTCATGGATTGCGAATCCTTGTGTAAGATTATGGTTTGATTTCAAACTCTGTACTTCAGTTCCTGAGGGGAGCTGTGTTGGAGATCCCTAGGGCTGTGTTAGAGATCCCTAGGGCTGTGTTAGAGATCCCTAGGGCTGTGTTGGAGATCCCTAGGGCTGTGTTGGAGATCCCTAGGGCTGTGTTAGAGATCCCTAGGGCTGTGTTGGAGATCCCTAGGGCTGTGTTAGAGATCCCTAGGGCTGTGTTAGAGATCCCTAGGGCTGTGAAAGAGATCCCTAGGGCTGTGTTAGAGATCCCTAGGGCTGTGTTAGAGATCCCTAGGGCTGTGTTAGAGATCCCTAGGGCTGTGTTGGAGATCCCTAGGGCTGTGTTAGAGATCCCTAGGGCTGTGTTGGAGATCCCTAGGGCTGTGTTAGAGATCCCTAGGGCTGTGTTAGAGATCCCTAGGGCTGTGTTAGAGATCCCTAGGGCTGTGTTAGAGATCCCTAGGGCTGTGTTATAGATCCCTAGGGCTGTGTTAGAGATCCCTAGGGCTGTGTTGGAGATCCCTAGGGCTGTGTTAGAGATCCCTAGGGCTGTGTTGGAGATCCCTAGGGCTGTGTTAGAGATCCCTAGGGCTGTGTTAGAGATCCCTAGGGCTGTGTTAGAGATCCCTAGGGCTGTGTTGGAGATCCCTAGGGCTGTGCTAGAGATCCCTAGGGCTGTGTTAGAGATCCCTAGGGCTGTGCTAGAGCTACATCATTTTGTCATTGCTATGATGCTCTTTCTGGGCAGCTGCGGAAAAAAAAAATTTTTTTAAAGGGTTCAGAATTCACTAAATACTGATTATGCCTACATTTCTAATCAACTATAAATCATAGCAATTTTAATTGCTTATATCAATCGAGATGGCAGATTGGAACAAAAAAAATAATAGCAGAAGGCATGGTACCAGGGAAAAGGGGCAGGGGCCGACCAATACGAAGATGGGCACAGAATATTAGTGACTCCTTGAATATAAAAGTTCATGGGACAGGAGAGCTTGTTTCATTTGAGGGGGCATGCAGCCCGTACTAAAATAATATTCAGTTTCTGATTGTATGTACATTTTTGCTGTGAAAGAGGGAATGGCACAGTCAAAGAATGAATGGGACTTCAGCATATTTGGCTAGGAATGGCACAGTCAAAGAATGAATGGGACTTCAGCATATTTGGCTAGGAATGGCACAGTCAAAGAATGAATGGGACTTCAGCATATTTGGCTAGGAATGGCACAGTCAAAGAATGAATGGGACTTCAGCATATTTGGCTAGGAATGACACAGTCAAAGATTGAATGGGACTTCAGCATATTTGGCTAAGAATGGCACAGTCAAAGATTGAATGAGACTTCAGCATATTTGGCTAGGAATGGCACAGTCAAAGATTGAATGGGACTTCAGCATATTTGGCTAGGAATGGCACAGTCAAAGATTGAATGGGACTTCAGCATATTTGGCTAGGAATGGCACAGTCAAAGATTGAATGGGACTTCAGCATATTTGGCTAGGAATGGCACAGTCAAAGATTGAATGGGACTTCAGCATATTTGGCTAGGAATGGCACAGTCAAAGATTGAATGGGACTTCAGCATATTTGGCTAGGAATGGCACAGTCAAAGATTGAATGAGACTTCAGCATATTTGGCTAGGAATGGCACAGTCAAAGAATGAATGAGACTTCAGCATATTTGGCTAGGAATGGCACAGTCAAAGAATGAATGGGACTTCAGCATATTTGGCTAGGAATGGCACAGTCAAAGATTGAATGAGACTTCAGCATATTTGGCTAGGAATGGCACAGTCAAAGAATGAATGAGACTTCAGCATATTTGGCTAGGAATGGCACAGTCAAAGAATGAATGAGACTTCAGCATATTTGGCTAGGAATGGCACAGTCAAAGAATGAATGAGACTTCAGCATATTTGGCTAGGAATGGCACAGTCAAAGATTGAATGAGACTTCAGCATATTTGGCTAGGAATGGCACAGTCAAAGAATGAATGGGACTTCAGCATATTTGGCTAGGAATGGCACAGTCAAAGAATGAATGGGACTTCAGCATATTTGGCTAGGAATGGCACAGTCAAAGAATGAATGAGACTTCAGCATATTTGGCTAGGAATGGCACAGTCAAAGAATGAATGAGACTTCAGCATGTTTGGCTAGGAATGGCACAGTCAAAGATTGAATGAGACTTCAGCATGTTTGGCTAGGAATGGCACAGTCAAAGAATGAATGGGACTTCAGCATATTTGGCTAGGAATGGCACAGTCAAAGATTGAATGAGACTTCAGCATATTTGGCTAGGAATGGCACAGTCAAAGATTGAATGAGACTTCAGCATATTTGGCTAGGAATGGCACAGTCAAAGATTGAATGAGACTTCAGCATATTTGGCTAGGAATGGCACAGTCAAAGATTGAATGAGACTTCAGCATATTTGGCTAGGAATGGCACAGTCAAAGATTGAATGAGACTTCAGCATATTTGGCTAAGATGGCACAGTCAAAGAATGAATAGGACTTCAGCATGTTTGGCTAGGAATGGCACAAGAAAAGTTAAAAAGCAACAGTGTGTCTACAATATTCTTCTCTAATTGCAGGTTCTTCCTCATGTGCTATGGTTTTGTGAACATGGCCTGTGCTCTGCAGACATTGCTACAGACTCCAAACTGGAGGCCCAGGTTCAAGTACTACCACTGGTATGTCTGACTAGAAGTACACCTGTGTGGTTAGTCAACACCTGGGTGGTTAGTCAACACCTGAGTGGTTAGTCAAAGCATGGGTGGTTAGTCAACACATAAGTGGTTAGTCTACACCTGGGTGGTTAGTCAACAACTGGGTAAACACATGAGTGATTAGTCAGCACCTGAGTGGTTAGTCAACACCTGGGTGGTTAGTCAACACCTGGGTGGTTAGTCAGCACCTGGGTGGTTAGTCAACATCTGAGTGGTTAGTCAACACCTGAGTGGTTAGTCAACACCTGGAGATTAGTCAACACCTGGGTGGTTAGTCAACACCTGGGTGGTTAGTCAACACCTGAGTGATTAGCCAACACCTTGGTGATTAGTCAACACCTGAGTGGTTAGTCAACACCTGGGTGGTTAGTCAACACCTGGGTGGTTAGTCAACACCTGGGTGGTTAGTCAACACCTGGGTGGTTAGTCAACACCTGGGTGGTTAGTCAGCACCTGGGCGGTTGGTCAACACCTGGGCGGTTGGTCAGCACCTGGGTGGTTAGTCAGCACCTGGGCAGTTGGTGAGCACTTGGGCGGTTGGTTAGCACCTGGGCGGTTGGTTAGCACCTGGGCGGTTGGTTAGCACCTGGGCTGTTGGTTAGCACCTGGGCGGTTGGTTAGCACCTCGGCGGTTGGTTAGCACGTGGGCGGTTGGTTAGCACCTGGGCGGTTGGTCAGCACGTGGGAGGTTGGTTAGCACCTGGACGGTTGGTTAGCACCTGGACGGTTGGTTAGCATGTGGGCGGTTGGTCAGCACGTAGGCGGTTGGTTAGCACCTATGCAGTTAGTGCATTTTTGTTGTTGCCATAGCTGCTGCTCCTATTGTTTTATTTGTTGTTGTGTTCATGCTGTTGCTGTTGTTTCTGCTGCTGTTGTTTCTGCTGCTGTTGTTTCTGCTGCTGTTGTTTCTGTTGCTGTTGTTTTTGCTGCTGTTGTTTCTGCTGCTGTTGTTTTTGCTGCTGTTGTTTCTGCTGCTGTTGTTTTTTCCATGTTGTTGCTACTTCTGTTGTTTCAGTTGTTGTTTCGCTGCTGCTGTTGTTATTGTTGTTGTTAACAGTGCACTACTGTGTTGTCTTCCACAGGACCTTGTCCCTGATTGGCCTGACCCTGTGTATAGTTCTCATGTTCATCTCCAGCTGGTACTTTGCCCTAGCGGCGATTGCCTTGGCTTTCTGCATCTACAAGTACATTGAGTACAAGGGGTAAGTCTGGGCTAGAATATATAAAATACTATATTCCTCATTATTGTACTGGTGGTATTTGGGTATTTTAAAATGCCTAATTCTTCATTAATGTACTGAAGATATTTGGGCACATTAACATACTGTATTCCTCCTTAATGTACTGATGGTATTTTTGGATAGCCAAGCTAGAGTCTGGCTGAATGTTTGCATGCTGCTTAAGCATACAGATATATATATCTGGAAATGTGGCCATATTGGGGAGAAATGAGAGCATCGATCTGATCTGTGATTCTGGTGATCATGTGAGATGACCACTTATCACCACCATATGTTCTGCCGATGAGCATTAGTGATCATCTCACACCAGAATCACAGATCAAATCAAGGCTCTCATTTTGCCCCATATGGCCAAACCTCCAGGTATATATCTCTGTAAATTTTTATAATTTTTAGATTTTAAAATTATAATTACCCATTACTTATTGATTTGTGTCCATTGAAACATGATGTCTGTTCTGTTTTTGTGTCCACTGAAACATGATGTCTGTTCACTTGTCCAGGGCTGAGCAGGAGTGGGGCGATGGGATCCGAGGTCTGGCCATGTCTGCTGCCCGCTACTCCCTACTGAGACTTCAGGCTGGTCCCCCTCACACTAAAAACTGGAGGTAAGGGTTCAGCATGTTGGTCTGTGGCGAGGTGGTTACATCATTTTTCTCTCACTTGTGGGTTCGTTTTCCGACTTTCATTAGGTGTGTAAGGGCAGTTGTTGCATATATCCATACAATTCATCCCTGGAGCTGCAGTGTTTGTGCTTTGTGCAATGTTCTTGCGGACAACCAGCCACCCTGTATTGCTAGACTGAGCCTATGGGATATCTTCTAGTACATTTAGGTTGATTCTTTTGCTCTTTAACATCTTTTTTTTTCACCCCTACTTTGGCTGGTTTTTATGTTTTTATAAATATTTTTTTTTTTTTTAGTAACGGTGGTGTTTATTACACTAAAATATCTCTAAGACAGGGCTATTCAACTAAGTTTAGTCAGGGGCCAAAATGTCAAAAACTGAGGATCGTTACAGGCCAGAGGGTCGGGCCCAAGCATTGAAAGATCATCAATACAATACAACTGGCTATGATCAGCGGGCCACTTGCTGGGCCTCCGCGGGCCGCCAGTTGAATAGCCCTGCTCTGAGAGCTCCAGTCTCCTCCCATGAATGGTAAAAGGAGAATCTCAGAGCAGTGTGCAAACTCTGTAGCTGCTGCAAGAATCCATGTGTGGGCTACTAGAATTTCACAAAGCAAAAAAGTCTTTTCTTTCTTTATACATACTTTATTTAATTTGAAACGGATTTAATTGTTTTAATTTAATACATCAGAAACAGTTGTAGTAATATGGAAGGATAGAAAAATAAGCCTGTCTCCTTAAGACAGCTGAAAGCCATAAACCAATTAGTATAACCAAGACAGAAAACATGTATCACCATGATAGAAAACATATGTAACCAATTTAGAAAACATGTATCATCAAGATAAAGACATGTATCACCATGAAAGAAAACATAACATGATAGAAAAGTTATATCACCATGATGGAAAACATGAATCACCAAAATAGAAAAAATTTCTCACCATAATAGGAAACATATATCACCATGATAAGAACCATGTATCACAATGATAGGAACCATTTGTCACCATGATGGGAAACATGTATCACCATGATGGGAAACATGTATCACCATGATAAAAAACATGAATCATAATGATAGGAAACATGTATAACTATGCTATAAAACATGTATCACCATGATACAAAATATGTATCACCATGTCCATGCTGGAATACATGTATCACCATGAAGGACATTATGTATCATCATGATAGACATGTCTCACCATAATAAACAACATGTCTCACCATGATAGACAACATGTCTCACCATGATAGACAACATGTCTCACCATGATAGACAACATATCTCACCATGATAGACAACATGTCTCACCATGATAGACAACATGTCTAACCATGATAGACAACATGTCTCACCATGATAGACAACATGTCTCACCATGATAGACAACATGTCTCACCATGATAGACAACATGTCTCACCATGATAGACAACATGTCTCACCATGATAGACAACAAGTCTCACCATGATAGACAACATGTCTCACCATGATAGACAACATGTCTCACCATGATAGACAACATGTCTCACCATGATAGACAACATGTCTCACCATGATAGACAACATGTCTCACCATGATAGACAACATGTCTCACCATGATAGACAACATGTCTCACCATGATAGACAACATGTCTCACCATGATAGACAACATGTCTCACCATGATAGACAACATGTCTCACCATGATAGACAACATGTCTCACCATGATAGACAACATGTCTCACCATGATAGACAACAAGTCTCACCATGATAGACAACATGTCTCACCATGATAGACAACATGTCTCACCATGATAAACAACATGTCTCACCATGATAGACAACATGTCTCACCATGATAAACAACATGTCTCACCATGATAAACAACATGTCTCACCATGATAGACAACATGTCTCACCATGATAGACAACATGTCTCACCATGATAGACAACATGTCTCACCATGATAGACAACATGTCTCACCATGATAGACAACATGTCTCATCATGATAGACAACATGTATCCCCAAGACTTTCTAATAAGCTGTTGTATCTGCCTGCTCCCCAGACCCCAGCTGTTGGTGCTGATGAAGCTGGATGAGAACCTGCAGCCAAAGTATCCCAAAATGGTCTTGTTTGCCAGCCAGTTGAAGGCAGGTGGGTGACTGCTTCACTGACTTACATATACATACTTCATTGAAAAACACAACACAGTGTTTCACAAGCATAGTGTACTAGTTTACAAACATGGTGCATTCACTTACAAACTTAGTGTACTAGTTTACAAACATTGTGCAATCACTTACAAACATAGTGTACTAGTTTACAAACATGGTGCATTCACTTACAAACATGGTGCATTCACTTACAAACATAGAATACTAGTTTACAAACATGGTGCATTCACTTACAAACATAGAATACTAGTTTACAAACATGGTGCATTCACTTATAAACATAGTGTACTAATTTACAAACATGGTGCATTTACTTACAAACATAGTGTACTAGTTTACAAACATGGTGCATTCACTTACAAACATGTACTAGTTTACAAAAATGGTGCATTCACTTACAAACATAGTGTACTAGTTTACAAACATGGTGCATTCACTTACAAACATAGTGTACTAGTTTACAAACATGGTGCATTCACTTACAAACATAGTGTACTAGTTTACAAACATGGTGCATTCACTTACAAACATGTACTAGTTTACAAACATGGTGCATTCACTTACAAACATAGTGTACTAGTTTACAAACATGGTGCATTCACTTACAAACATAGTGTAATAGTTTACAAACATGGTACATTCACTTACAAACATAGTGTACTAGTTTACAAATATGGTGCATTCACTTACAAACATAGTGTACTAGTTTACAAACATACTGCATTCACTTGCAAACATAGTGTACTAGTTTACAAACATGGTGCATTCACTTACAAACATAGTGTACTAGTTTACAAACATGGTGCATTCACTTACAAACTTAGTACACTGAATTACAAATATAGTAAGTTAACAAACATAGCACAGTGTTTTCAGAACATAGTGTATCAGAACATAAAGGAATAGTTTACAAACATAGTACATTCACTTACAAACATAGTGCAGTGTTTTACTAACATAGTATACTAGCTTGCAAATATAGTTTATTTACTTAGAAATATATTGCATTTACAAGCACAGCACATTGTTTTGCGAACATAGAGTACTATCTTACATAGTGCATTCACTTACAAGCATAGTACACTTACAAACACAGCACAATGTTTATAAACATGGTGTACTAGATTAGAAACACAGTACATTCACTTACAAATGTGCTACTCTGACTTACTTAGTGCACTTACAAACATGGCACACTGACTTATAAACCCAGTGCCCTTACAAATGCAGTGCAGTAAACTTAAACATAGTACACTAACTAACAAATGTAGTGCACTGACTTATAAACACAGTGCACTGACTTAAAACATGGTACGCTAAATTACATTATAACACGCTGACTTACAAACGAAGTCCACGTTTGAATTCATAGTGCACTTACATAGCATAGTTTACTAACTAACAAACATAACACAGTCACTAGCATGATAGTTAGCACACCACTTTACAGACATACACTAATTTTAAAAAGTGGTTCGTGCACTGATTTGCAGATAAAGCAGTTGGTGTCCTCGCACTGGCCAACACTTAACACTCAGAGGGAATACTTGACTTATGTAAATCAAACTACTACTAGAACCATCAGACTGGAACACTGAAATTTGCAGATATCACAGCCTAGCTGTAAGCCGCAACACATACCAACTGCCCTTTTAAGGGTAATGCCAATGAAGGCCAGTGGAATGAGATGTTTGAGTAGGGTTGTCAGCTGAACAGACAAGATCATTTGAGAGTAGATCAGGGAACAGATGAGAACAATTAGTCGGACATTCAGTTCATTAAGAAACGAAGAATGATTTGGTCACTTACTAAGAATGAATTCAACTTTGCCAGCAGTGAGAGTATACAACATGGAAATTGAAACATCATGAGGCAGAGAGGGACTTAGAAGAAGATGGATTGAAGGAGTCACTGACAGCTAAAGACTGCACAAGATCACAGCATACCAAGCAGTAGAGCAAACCCTGGCTTGTCTGTTAAACATTGATGCCTAGTGACACAAAGCAGATATTGACGAAAGAATAGAAGTCACTGGAGATCTGTGAGATGGTCTTGCAGGTGACTAGCCACTCTATAGAATGGTCAGATAAAAAATGTTTTCTTCTCTGAAGGTCACATATTAGGCACATAGACCTATCTGGACACTGCAGACTCAAAAGATAAAAACATGCTTGAAATAAAGAACGGACAGTCCCCATATGTCAGATGGGACCACAAACACCTGAGCACATTCTGCAGACCTGCCCACTCTACCTACACCTACAGAAAGAAACCTGGCCTCAAGAGCAGTGTACAGAGAAAGCTACGGGGAACCACGAAGGGACCCCAACTGACATACAAATTCATAGAAGCTGCCCACCTGATGATCTGACCTGAGCATGCGGAACCAAACACAGAGAAGAAGAAGAAGAAGAAGAAGAAGAAGAAGAAGAAGAAGAAGAAGAAGAAGAAGAATGAGAAGAAGAAAAAGACTCATGTTAGATTCCAACCTCCCAACTACTCAATTTTGCAAAGCAGTTGCACGTTATCTATAAAGTATGTTACGTTTGTATAGCAATATACATTAGAGAGAGAGAGAGGGAGGGAGGGAGGGGGAGAGAGAGAGAGAGAGAGAGAGAGAGAGAGAGAGAGAGAGAGAGAGAGAGAGAGAGAGAGAGAGAGAGAGAGAGAGAGAGAGAGAGAGAGAGAGAGCTAGCTATGTGTGTGAAAACCTGATTCACTGAAGTTATCCTCTTGCTTTCTAAATATCTTAATGATGTCAAATGTGAATGTGAATGATCTGCCCCTACTTGCAGGCAAGGGGTTGGTGTTGGTCAACAGTGTCTTGGAGGGACAGTTTACAGAGAGGTATCCTGATGCACAAGCTTCTAAACAGGTTCGTGTTCTGTGTATCTGTCTGTCTAACTCTCTCTCTCTCTCTCTTTCTCTCTCTCTCTGCTGTCTCTCTTTATTGGTCTGTCTCTCTTTCTCTGTCAGTCTTTCTCTCTATTGCTGTCTTTTTTTTTTCTGTCTGTCTGCCTGTCTCTCTTTCTTTGTCTGTTTCTCTCTGTTGCTCTGTCTTTATTTCTGTCCGTCTACCTCTTTTTCTTCATCTGTCTCTATGTGTTGCTCTCTCTTTTTCTCTGCCTGTCTTTCTCTCTTTTGCTCTGTCTTTTTTTTCTCTGTCTGTCTGCCTGCCTCTCTTTCTTTGTCTGTTTCTTTCTGTTGCTCTGTCTTTCTTTCTGTTTGTCTACCTCTTTTTCTTCACCTGTCTTTGTGTGTTGCTCTCTCTTTTTCTCAGTCTATCTGTATCTCTTTCTGTCTTGCTGTGTCCCTCTTTCTCTGTCTGTTTATCTGTTTCTCTTTCTCTGTTGATTAGTCTCTATTTTTCTGTCTTTCTATCTGCCAGTCCCCTTTTCTCAATTGCCCTTTTATCTTTCTTTATCTCCCCCCCCCCCCCCCACTCTTGTGTCTCTCTCTGTCTTTCTCTGTCACCCTGGTCTCTATATATATTTATTTCTGTGTGTGTGTATATATAAATATAAATATAAATATATATATATATATATATATATATATATATATATATATATATATATATATATATATATATATATATATATATATACACACACACACACACACACATACACACATATCTTCACACATATATTTCATCTTAAAATCCCTATCTGATGACATTAGCCTTCCTGTCTGACCACAGCCGTCTGTCACGTCTCATGCTAGTTATTTTCTGTGTCTGGAGTTTGATACAGCCATTCCTTCCTGATGCCAGACTGCCTGAGATATTCTTTCTTGATATCCCCTTGCCTCTCTTGCCTTCCATGTTTCCTGTTGTCACAACATACCCCCAGTTTTCCCTATCTCAGTCCTGTCTAATGTGAGGTAAAGTCCTGGGAAGTAAAGACAGCCACCTTGATGTTGACTACATCACCCAGCGAGTGCTGATTGGTCTGTAAAATATAGGTCTAGTATTATATAACCAACGTACCGCGATCGAAACCCACTGCTAGCTGCGTGGATTTTTTATCATGGTACATGGGCGTCGCAGGTCGACCCAGCCTAAAATGGGTACCAGGATGGGCTGTCCTGGGAAAATAAAGGCAGCCGGCGTAGTGCTGACCACATTACCCACCGAGTGCTGATGGTCTGTAAAAATATAGGCGCTCTTCCCATATGGAAATGGGTTCTTTACATTACTTTTATTGACTATGTCTGAAGAATGTAGATTATCTCCTTGTGGTACAGGTTCTTTACATTACTTTTACTATGTCTGGAGAATGTAGGTTATCTTCTTATGGTGCTGGTTTTTTACATTACTTTTACTGACTATGTCTGGAGAATGTAGGTTATCTCCTTATGGTGCAGGTTCTTTAAATTACTTTTACTATGTCTGGAGAATGTAGATTATCTCCTTATGGTGCAGGTTCTTTACATTACTTTTACTATGTCTGGAGAATGTAGGTTATCTTCTTATGGTGCTGGTTTTTTACATTACTTTTACTGACTATGTCTGGAGAATTTAGGTTATCTCCTTATGGTGCAGGTTCTTTAAATTACTTTTACTATGTCTGGAGAATGTAGATTATCTTCCTATGGTGCAGGTTTTTTATATTTCTTTTACTATGTCTGGAGAAAAATATTATCTTCTTATGGTGCAGGTTTCTATCATTACTTTTACTGACTTTGTCTGGAGAATGTAGATTATCTCCTTATGTTGCAGGTTCTTTACATTACTTTTACTATGTCTGGAGAATGTAGATTATCTCCTTATAGTGCAGACTCTTTACATTACTTTTACTGACTATGTCTGGAGAATATAGATTATCTCCTTATGGTGCAGGTAACCAGCTGCTTCTGTGAGTTAATTTCTCTCTGGAAAAGTCCAATACAGTTTTTAATCTGTCCACAATGTTCTTATCATTCTCTTATACAAGCACATTTCGTCAGCTTCCACATGTTTTTTCAATAATCAGCTGATTGTTCGTGATTCACTTCCATACATAATGATTGGCTCTATATAGCTCTTCAAAGTTGTCTTCCTCATCTCATTTGACACAGTTGTATTTATAGAGCATTCTCCATCAGATACTGCATCTTTCTTTTGTCCATTCTGCATTGTGCCGCTAGACGTTGCAGGTTAACAGTTGATTTTGTTCCAGGTCATAGCACGCTCAGTTGCCTGGTAAGCTGTGGTGTTATGGAGTCCCAAAAATATCAGTGACGTCTTCGGCCCATCTTCTTCTTGATTGTCCCATACCTCTTAGTATTTCTACTTTCATGTTGTATGTTCTTGTAGCTGGCATTATTGGGTTCCCTCTCATTAAATGTTCCAATCATTTCAGTCTTTGTTTTTCAGTGGATATAATTATGGGCTTTGTTTCATTAGTTCTTGTAATTTCTTTGTATCTCACACGAGCTCTGTAAGTTTTGCACTTGACCTTTCTCAAACATCTCGTTTCACAGGTGGTTAGAAATACTGTAATATCTCTAAAATATTCTTACAAAATAGTCATATTGAACACATTCATCTCAATAAACCAAAATCTTGTTGTGCGCAAGTTCTGATTGAAGCGAATGAAGGTATGAAAGAATTTTTTTCAGAAGGGTTGAGAATGGGACGTATTAAGTTTTTTGTGAGTAATGGAGGGTATGGTTCCTAGGAGCAGAGGTAGAGGTCAACCAGTATCACAGTGGACACAAGATGTCAAGGACACACTTGGCATGAAAGTTCACAGGGCGGGAACATTGTGAGGAAGCATGATGAGGATTTGTATTTCTTGGTCCAAATGCACTCTTTCTCTCTCTCTCTCTCTCTCTCTCTCTCTCTCTCTCTGTCTCTCTCTCTCTTTTTCTCTGTCTCTCTCTCTCTCTTTCTCTGTCTCTCTCTGTCTCTCTCTCTCTCTCTCTCTTCAATCTCTCATGCTGTCTCTTTATCTTTCTTTCTCTCACTGTCTTTCTCTCTCTCACCTCTTCCCTTGCCTTTGTCTCTCTTCATCTCTTCTTGTGCTCTTTCTCGCATTTGTTGTCTTACATGTCAAATCACCTGCTTCAACATTATAAACTTTTGGTGTCCCCAGTCTCTGATGAACCTGATTAAAGCATACGGAGTCAAGGGGTTCTCTGATGTCAGCATTGCCAGCGATGTCTCAGAAGGACTTTGTCAGCTGTGAGTGTCATTCATATATGTTTGTCAAGTCAGTGCAGTATAACCAGCCTAAACAGGGCACCAGGTAAAGTCCTGAGAAGAAAATGCTTTCTCGTGATGTTGACCACATCACCCCCTGAGTGCAGATTGTCCTGTAAAATCTACATCTAGCACTAGATACCCACTACACTTAGGGGTATGGAAGAGGGCCCTATACCTACAGGGCAACACTTGATCCTGACAACAGAAGGGAACCAGTGACAGTCAGTTGATAAGTAGAACATTATGTGGCAGAGCTGTGGCTTTATTGACCAATGACGATGACTGTCCGTGATGTGATATTAAGCAGTACAATTGAGTGAACGCAGATTTTTTGGGCTAGAGAAACACTCGTACTGGACAGATGAGATATTCTGAAGAACATTTATGAACAAATGAGGATATAAGACACAAAGTAGATACAAAATATGTGTGTAAGAATATGTGAACATGAAATTATGAGCGGATCCAGCAAGGAGCGACTTATGAGAGGAAGAGAAAGACGTGTACATATGAGAGAAAGAGAAAGATGGGTGTTCGTATGAGAGGAAAATAAAGATGTGTATACAATCAGCCGGCTATGGCAACAGTTAGCATCGAGGGAGCGAACAAACAGACAAACTTTATTTACAAAGAGTTACAAATTGGGCACACAGGAATGTCTTACATTGGGTCCTTCCACTCTCATACATACATACATACATACATACATACATACATACATACATACATACATACATACATACATACATACATACATACATACATACATACATACATACATACATACATACATACATACATACATACATACATACATACATACATACATACATACAGACATACATACATACATACATACAGACATACATACATACCTACATCCATCCATCCATCCATCCATCCATCCATCCATGCATGCAGGCAGACAGACAGACAGACAGACAGACATACAAACACATAACATACACACACACAAACACACATACACAACAGACACACGCACGCACGCACACATACTTTGAGACATTTGCTGTCGGAGACGGAGAATCTAGGGTATGCCTGGTGTGCTATGCTGTCAGTTCTGCGATCAGTAATCAGTAACTAATGATGAAAACAAGTGGACAGATACTGATTGTAATGAAGATGATTTAAAAGACATTACTTGGGAACAAAACTGATTACCTGCATCAGTAGGAGACGGTCTATATTCCTTGGTCACAGACATGAAATTCTGAGGAAGGTCAAGACAGGCAAACTTCGTGAAGAGTGGCATGCTTCACTGTGGAGGACACGTGTGAGGAGTATTGTCTGGATTTTTTCTCCGGGAAATTTCAGTGTGTTAGGAAATGAAAAGGCAGACAGACTGGCTGGCTCTGCACAACTTGGTGGAATACTGATGCATGATAAGGACGACATTGTGGGAGAGCGTGTACAGTTCGGGGGAGCAGATGGAACACATTAAGTCTGGTGAGATTGATGCAATGGGGAGTGACGAGGGGCTCTGGCAGATACTCGAGGCTCAGAGGAAAGGCAAGATGGAAGTTTAATCAGAATGCTACTGGCACCATTAGTATCAAAACTCTACACTGGCTGCTGAAGATGGGGACAAAGTGCTTATGGGAATGCCCTGAGTCCTCTGATGTCAATTCTTGAATCAACTCAACTCAACTCAAATGTTAAAAGGTAAAAATTGGAATGCATTTTGACAACTGGAGAGGGGGAGGAGAGAGGCAGAGGAAGACCAAAGGAAGATGCTAGATTTTTTCGCATGGAAGATCATCTGTGTCAGAATTGATTGAAAGTTCACGAGGCAGAAGAGTGTATAAAGACATGATAGCAAATGCCATATAGTGTAGACTGAAGAAGCGTCTGGGTCAACCTAGCCTCTCTTAAAATATATGCCAAAGATGTGGGGAAGTCAAGGCGGGCCTGGGAAATACTACCTCTTGTGTTGTGTTCAGTCAGTTTACTCATTACAGAGTTACTTTTATTTGCTGGTGGTTCCTTCAGTCGTTGTGGTTTCTTAGCAAAAGTTAATGGTCGACGTTTGGTGCAGGAGAGCCTAGCATATGATACCACAACATCCAGCTTAAGAATGGAGGTGGAGGCAGTCACTGCAGCTTTCCACTGGTTAGAGAACATGACACACACACACATGGTGATTGTAACTGATTCAGAAAGCATGCTGAGGAAGATCAGGACAGGCATGCTTCGTACAAAGTGGCATGCTTCACTGCGGAGGACACGGGTGAGGAGTATTGTCTGGATTTTTTCACCGGGATACGCCGGTGTGTTGGGGAATGAACAGGCGGACAGGCTAGCTGGCTCTGCACAACTTGGTGGAATACTGATGCATGATAAGGCAGACGTGGTTAGTGCCTTGTGGGAGAGTGTGTACAGTTTGGGGGAGCAGATGGATCACCACAGTCTGGTGAGACTGATGCAGCGGGGAGTGATGAGAGGTTCTGGCAGATGCTCAAGTCTCTGTGGAAAGGCAAGACGTACTTTTAATCGGAATGCTATGGGCATCATTAGTATGGCTGCTGAAGATGGGGACAGAGCCCTGAGTGCTGTGATGTTGGTTCTTGAATCAACTCAACTCAGAGGTACTTTGATGGGCTTGTGTTCCTTCAGTCGTGCAAATGTGTTTATTCAAATAGAATCCAGAATGCTGGTTTGGGCGGTTTGAAACACAACACAGTTGTACTTGGCTGGCCATATGGCTGGAGGCATGATGCTGACGAAAGAAGCTACAAGGTTTTCTTGGGTAAGTTTTCCTCTCTCCCCACCCCCCTTCTTCCCCACCCACTCTTTTTCCCCCTCTCCCCCTGTTCTCTCCTTCTCCTTTCTCTCGCCCTTCCCTTTCTCCCCCTCCTTTCTCACCTCTTCCTTTTTTCTTTCTTCCCATTTTCCTTTCTCCCCTTCCCCTTTCTCCCCTCCTTTTTTCTTTCTTCCCTTTTTCTCCTTTCCCTTTTTCTTTCTCCTCTTTCTCTTCCTTCTCAGTGTGTGTTTTGTGTATGTTTGTGTGTGTGTGTGTGTGTGTATGTGTGAGAGAAAGCTGCTGCTTCCTTCAATGATGAATTTTAGTTCTCCTGGCAGACTGTGTTCACTTATGATGGCTGCCTTATGCATTTACTGCATGTGTGTGCTATTTGCTTTGTGGAGACTGCAGTCTGTTTTAATATTTTTGAGACATGGCAATCAGAATTCTGTGGATTTTTTTTTTTTTTTTGCTGGCATAGGAATGGGAGCTTTTTGGGGTAACCTGTTTGCTGTAAAACTAGAACTAACTGACAGATACAGCCAAGATGGCAGAGTATTGTCTCTTGGTCATATTTTGAGATGTGCTGTTGAAAATACTGAGAGAGACAATCCAGTGGGGAACGTCAGTCTGACCCATGGTGTTTTAATTTAGTCTAAACCAGTGGGTTTATTGGCTGCAGAAGCACTGTGGGTATGAATTGTTATAATGGACAAGGCAAACATTCTGAGGTTGGTTAGTTCATTAATTGACCCATCAGCCTCATTGCACATCAGACGTCCATAAGTGATTAGATCCCATCCTCATTGCACATCTGACAAGTCCATAATGGATTGGATCCCATCCTCATTGCACATCTGACAAGTCCATAAGTGATTGGATCCCATCCTCATTGCACATCTGACAAGTCCATAAGTGATTGGATCCCATCCTCATTGCACATCGGACAAGACCATAAGTGATTGGATCCCATCCTCATTGCACATCTGACAAGTCCATAAGTGATTGGATCCCATCCTCATTGCACATCGGACAAGACCATAATGGATTGAATCCCATCCTCATTGCACATCGGACAAGACCATAAGTGATTGAATCCCATCCTCATTGCACATCTGACAAGTCCATAAGTGATTGAATCCCATCCTCATTGCACATCTGACAAGTCCATAATGGATTGGATCCCATCCTCATTGCACATCGGACAAGACCATAATGGATTGAATCCCATCCTCATTGCACATCGGACAAGACCATAAGTGATTGAATCCCATCCTCATTGCACATCTGATAAGTCCATAAGTGATTGAATCCCATCCTCATTGCACATCTGACAAGTCCATAATGGATTGGATCCCATCCTCATTGCACATCGGACAAGACCATAAGTGATTGGATCCCATCCTCATTGCACATCGGACAAGACCATAAGTGATTGGATCCCATCCTCATTGCACATCTGACAAGTCCATAATGGATTAGATCCCATCCTCATTGCACATCGGACAAGACCATAAGTGATTGGATCCCATCCTCATTGCACATCTGACAAGACCATAAGTGATTGAATCCCATCCTCATTGCACATCTGACAAGTCCATAAGTGATTGAATCCCATCCTCATTGCACATCTGACAAGTCCATAAGTGATTGGATCCCATCCTCATTGCACATCTGACAAGTCCATAAGTGATTGAATCCCATCCTCATTGCACATCTGACAAGACCATAAGTCATTGGCTCCCCCTTGAGTATATGGCAAGAATTCCCCCCCCCCCCTTTTCTGTTAGTTTATTGCAAAACCCCCCACATCTCTTGTGTATATGCCAAGCGCCCCCCTCTTTAAAATAACAAAATATTATTAAAAAGAGGAGGGCAATATATTCTACAACAAGGGAAACAGACAGTATGTTTATGTATAATAAACAGACAGTGTATTGATCAGCACTCATAGAAAAAAATAGAAAAATAGAAGGACACACTAGACAACATAAAAATCAAAAGCTATAGTTTCCGGCTTCAAGGGTTCCTCCTCTATCTATTTATGTGAGACAGTATGGAGATATGTTTTGGTCACTGAATGCTCCTAATCTATAAATGCCTATGTTATTGTATTATTTAGATTTTTAACTTTAGATATACAAACTGCTTATGAAAACAAAATATGTCCTTGGCTTTTTGTTTTATACAAAAATTTTTAAAGCATTTTATAATTTTATTTATAATTAAATTCAAAAAATATTATAATGGATTATTACAAATACAACTTCTCTCAATTTTAAAATTGATTGCCTCCCCCCCCCCCCCCCCCCCCTTTTTTCCTTTCCTTTTTTCCATCCAGGTTGGAGGCCATTGCTATAAAGGATACACAACTAACATTAATTTCTGAATCCCTCCTTCCATCTGAAAATTTTACCCCTGATGTTCTCTTGTTTTTCTGTTATTTATTTGTGTTAATATGGTTTGTGTTTGATCTAGTATCTGCTAACAGACATTTATTATTTACTTGCAGATACTATCAAGAATGTCGGTGCTGCTCAGATGGCGCTGTTAGTACCAAAGGGAATTAACCAGTTCCCAGATGCTGGAGTCAAGTTGAAAGGAACTATTGATGTCTGGTGGATTGTACATATCCTTGACTTTTGATTATTTCTGGTTATCCCCACTTGACCTGCCTGTTGTCATTCCAGATTTCATGAAGTGATTTCATCTGCTTCAGACCCATAATTATGTCAGCTGATGATGCAGTTATATGTTGGATGTTCAAGGCAGCTTCATGAGGCTTCTATAATGTGATTATTGTATATAAATCTAGGGGGGCTGCGTGGTCTTCAGGCATGGTGTCTGTCTCGAGTGCTAGAGGTTCCGGGTTTAATCCCCGGTAAGGGCTGGGATTTTTTCATTGGACTTGGACTTCTTGTAATTCCCCCGGTCTCTGGGTAGTGAGATCAGACGCCCCTGTGCATTGTTATGAACGTTAAAAAAATCCCTTGGCAGTTAGACATTGAAAAGAGTAGCCTAACGGCACTGCCTGGGCCAAAATTTGGAGTTTAAAACCTAACAAAAGTATTTCAGGATCCTCGCCAGTGCTATAGAGCCTGTGCACTGTATTGAGCTTCTTCGACTTGAGTTAGAAGAAGAACGGAGTACTTATGGGTTACTACTCGTGTGCCATGATGTTGATCCATTGTTCAAACATCAAACCTGTGTACAAATCTGCATCATTGTAATTATTTACACTATGTCCCATTCAGAGTTGCCTCTGGCAACTAGATACTTTTTTCACCATGTATACTGCTATAATTCCTTGGCTCCCAGATTGACCCAGAATGCTCAGGTTGTTTGGTCCTTCTTCAAAATTAGACGAGATTCATCATCATCATCTCGTAACACTGCGTGTCGTTATATTGCCAGTTACTGTTCACTGGTCAGCGCTCTCCACATTTGCGTTGGACATCATGGTTGCATGCCTGAGGCCTGTCCAGTCAGTAGGTTCTGTAACCAGGTCTTTCTTGGTCTGCCTCTTCTTCTCTTTCCCTCTACTGAGCCCTGCAGTATTGTTTCTGAGAGGCTGTTAGATCTTATTACATGTCCATACCATTGTATTTGTTGCCTTTTCACTGTAGTTAAAAGAGGTTCATAGTTGTCGATGATCTGATCTGTCAACAGCATAGTGCGTCTCGGGCAGTATTTCAACCCTGGTGTGACCCACTACACTCAAGGGGGCTTTCTCTGATGTCCACTTCCACTGTCTTTGAAAGTCATAGCACTCAGGATTTTTTTTCATGGTTATTTTCTCTTTTGGGTGCTAATGAGGAGCGGTTGGCCGAACGGTTAGAACGCTGGGCTCTCAAGCGGGAGACCTGAGTTCAAATCCTCGGTAAGGCTATAGATTTTTTCTGTCGGGGGAAAAATAAAATTCTCACCTGTACTGTCGTAGCGACAGCACTAGCCATGCGGCCGTAAATCCTTAGGCTCAAAGACCCCCCTGCCTACACGGCAAAAATTGTAAAAAAAAGGCAGTAATAGGCAGTTTTTGGAGTGGGAGTGGCCATTCAATTTCTTGCTGTCTTGAAGGTACTGAGTTCGGATGTGCACTGGGGCAGATCTTTTAATGTAGTCTAGGGTACTTTGGTCAACCCAGAAATTGTTTTAGGAAAATAAATATGGTCATTGTTATGTTGACACATCAGCAATATGTTGACCACATCAGTCTTATGTTGACCACATCAACATGCTGATGACACCAGTTTTATGTTGACCACATCAACATGCTGATGACACCAGCATTATGTTGACCACATCAGCGTTATGTTGACCATACAGGTGTTATGTTGACCAAATCAGTGTCATGTTGACCACATCATCATTATGTTGACCATACAGGTGGTATGTTGACCACATCAGCATTATGTTGACCACATCAGCATTATGTTGACCACATCAGCGTTATGTTGACCACATCAGCGTTATGTTGACCACACAGGTGGTATGTTGACCACATCGGTGTTATGTCGACCACATCAGCATTATGTTGACCACACAGGTGGTATGTTGACAACATCAGTGTTATGTTGACCACACAGGTGGTATGTTGACCACATCAGTGTTATGTTGACCACACAGGTGGTATGTTGACCACATCAGCATTATGTTGACCACACAGGTGGTATGTTGACAACATCAGCGTTATGTTGACCACACAGGTGGTATGTTGACCACATCAGCATTATGTTGACCACACAGGTGGTATGTTGACAACATCAGGGTTATGTTGACCACACAGGTGGTATGTTGACCACATCAGCATTATGTTGACCACACAGGTGGTATGTTGACAACATCAGCGTTATGTTGACCACACAGGTGGTATGTTGACCACATCAGCATTATGTTGACCACATCAGTGTTATGTTGACCACACAGGTGGTATGTTGACAACATCAGCGTTATGTTGACCACATCAGCGTTATGTTGACCACACTGGTGGTATGTTGACCACATCAGTTTTATGTTGACCATACAGGTGTTACGTTGACCAAATCAGTGTCATGTTGACAACATCATCCAGTGAGTGCTGACTCGTCTGTACAAAATATTCATCTGGCACCATACATTTGACATCCAGTAGCATGCAAAAGTTCCTTGACTTTGACTTGACATCATGAAAGCGTGAAACAAAACAAACGAAAGCTATTTCATTTTTTTCCATGCGAAACGATTTCCTTGGGGCAGTTATGTATACTATTTTATGAGGAGAGGTTGGCTAAGAAACTCGAATGCTAGCTTCAATTCAGGAGACTTGTGTTTACTGCTTGTAAACTTCGGTGGAAGGTTCTGTGTCTTTGTCCACCTGCCGACTTTAGTTCTGCTCCAGAACCTGTTGAGTGCACATTTGTTTCACAGATCTGGCTTATCTATATGCAGATTCTTTGTTCTTTGCTTCTCCGGCAGATGTACTCAGACTTCAAAGGATGCACCTAATTAGTCGACTCTTACGACATGCTTGTTAGGGAGATAGAGGGTCTATTTCTGTTTTCCCCACAACCCCCATGGGGAATTTAGGAGACTTGAGTTTGAACCATCTGCAGGGTGATGGACACTTCTGTCAGTGACCAACACAAAAAAATTTGAATTTTTGAGCTGAAATGCTGCATAAAAATTCTTAGAATACCATGGACCAAGAAGGAAAGAAAAAAAACCACTGAAATCCGACATGATCTGAGCATCGAGGAGAATTGGCTCATAAACAGCATCCTGGCCTGAAAGCTGGGGGTATTTTAGCCATGTTGGGTGTCATGATGGCCAGGAGAGAACGGTGATGGAGGGCCCAGTTTTTAGAAAACAATGCGCAGGCTGACCTCCATGAAGGTGGATCAAGATTGGAACATGCATTGGCCATGTGGGCACATGGAGCTGGAGAGTTGGCTAGAGAAAGATAGACTTTCAGGCATGCTGCGAAGAAGAAAAAACCGTTCTGTAAAGCTAGTTAGTTAGTTGCGTATCCTTTACAGTACGTTGCAGAACCAACTTTAACAGCCCCTAGCTGTTGTGTGGTTTCTCTAGGCAATTTACATCCAGTAGTTTGCCATTGCTTTCGGGATGGTCGGTTTTCTTGATACCACTGTCGAAACCAATGCAAGGCGCATTGTCCGCAGCTGGGATAGAACCTGGCATCCCGGCATTACGAAGCAAAGCGTTCGCATCGACTTAGCTACAGAGCCGACGTTCTGTAAAGTACTTACAAATAAAAGTTTTAACCTGCAGTTTGTTTTGACCGCACTAGCCATGAGGGGCAGGGGCCGACCCACACAAAGATGGGCACAGGATGTAAGTGACTCCTTGAGTGTGTAAGTGTATGAGGCGGGAGAACTGGCGAGAGACTGAGTTTCTTTCAGGCACACTGTGATGAGAGCGACGTTCTGCAGAGGACATGCTACATGATGATGATGATGAGCCAGGAGACCTAAAATCCCCCAGTCCTGAAAAATGATAAATATTTTCAGTAAAGTCAGTTTTAGGGCATGTTATATATATTTGGTTGAACATCCTTGACCTTCCCCCACATGATGGAGGTCTTTTGATGCTGCTGCCATTTTTGCTGAGACAGGACAGAACTTGGAAGAACTGCAAGCTCCGGATCTTCACTGTAGCTCGTATCCTTGGCACTCATTGATGGTGATGTAGTTAATCTGATGTCAGTTAAATGTAGACCTGCAATGATAGAATGTGACTTTAATACCTCTTAGAATGGTATGTTAAGGTTATTTCTGCTAGTATAGATTACCCCCCCCCCCCCCCCCCCCCAGAATGGTGTGTTAATGTTATTTCTGCTAGTAAAGATAACACCCCACCCCAATCTCCCCCCCCCCCCCCAGAATGGTGTGTTAATGTTATTTCAGCTATGATAGAATATAAATTAAATATCTCCTTGAATGGTATGTTAGTGTTATTTCTGCTAGGATAGAGATACTCCCTAGAATGGTGTGTTAGTGTTATTTTTGCAAGGATAGAATATGAATTAAATATCTCCTTGAATGGTATGTTAATGTTATTTCTGCTAGGATAGAGATACTTCCTAGAATGGTATGTTATGTTATTTCTGCTAGGATAGAGATACTCCCTAGAATGGAATGTAATGTTATTTCTGCTAGGATAGATATACTCCCTAGAATGGTATGTTAATGTTATTTCTGCTAGGATAGAGATACTCCCTAGAATGCCCAACCCTCACTTACCAACTGATCATCATCATCATTATCATAAACCACTTCTGCCGTTAACCGATCAGCCAAGCCAAAAGTTAATCAACTACTATAATTACTACTGCATTAGACTTATATGCATGCCAGGGCAAAAGTTACCTGAATATGTAAAAGTAAAGTCGGGAGATGTGAATCAGCGTCATTGCACAGTTATAAACCATAAGTTCTCTGCCACCAGTACGAACAGCTGATAAGAAACTGTCCGCCTGTGTCGTCGTCCACACGTAAACTCTGTAACAGTGATGTTCCTCCATTTACCCCAGAGTGTCACTCTGGTACCCATTTCCTAGAGGCTGGAAGAACCCTGGGAACCCCCTGGTTTCGAACACCGACTGTGGCTGCAGCGAGTCGCAGCTGGATTTGAAAGCTAGCCTCCTATCGACTGCGCTAACACGGCTACTGAATATGTATTAAAATACAGTGTTAACTGTTTGCCTGCAGTGGCAGAATGTTAGCTGTGCTAGGGGCTACTGAAAGGTGTTATACTTTGGTAGAAGAAGCCACAGTGTAGACCTGGAAGATGGTTTTAACTTTTGACTTTGTCAGGGAAAGAGGAGCAGCTGGCCAAATGGTAAAGAACACTGGGCTGTCAGGCGGGAAACCATGGCCACAGCACTGGCCATGCAGGCTTAGATCCTTGGGCTGCAAGACCATGGGAAGGAACAGAGGTGTACCAGCTTGGGAAGGAACAGAGGTGTACCAGCTTGGGAAGGAACAGAGGTGTACCAGCTTGGGAAGGAACAGAGGTGTACCAGCTTGAGAAGGAACAGAGGTGTACCAGCTTGGGAAGGAACAGAGGTGTACCAGCTTGAGAAGGAACAGAGGTGTACCAGCTTGGGAAGGAACAGAGGTGTACCAGCTTGGGAAGGAACAGAGATATACGAACATAGCAAGGAGCAGAGGTGTACCAGCTTGGGAAGGAACAGAGGTGTACCAGCTTGGGAAGGAACAGAGGTGTACCAGCTTGGGAAGGAACAGAGATATACGAACATAGCAAGGAGCAGAGGTGTACCAGTATAGGAAGTAACAGTGGTATACCAACATAGGAAGGAACAGAGGTGTACCAGTATAGGAAGTAACAGTGATATACCAACATAGGAAGGAACAGAGGTGTACCAGTATAGGAAGTAACAGTGATATACCAACATAGGAAGGAACAGTGGTGTACCAGTATAGGAAGTAACAGTGATATACCAGCATAGGAAGAAACAGTGGTGTACCAGTATAGGAAGGAACAGTGATATACCAGCATAGGAAGAAACAGTGGTGTACCAGTATAGGAAGTAACAGTGATATACCAGCATAGGAAGAAACAGTGATATACCAACATAGGAAGGAACAGTGATATACCAACATAGGAAGGAACAGTGGTGTACCAGTATAGGAAGTAACAGTGATATACCAACATAGGAAGGAACAGAGGTGTACCAGTATAGGAAGTAACAGTGATATACCAACATAGGAAGGAACAGTGATATACCAACATAGGAAGGAACAGTGGTGTACCAGTATAGGAAGTAACAGTGATATACCAACATAGGAAGGAACAGAGGTGTACCAGTATAGGAAGTAACAGTGATATACCAACATAGGAAGAAACAGTGGTGTACCAGTATAGGAAGTAACGGTGATATACCAGCATAGGAAGAAACAGTGGTGTACCAGTATAGGAAGGAACAGTGATATACCAGCATAGGAAGAAACAGTGGTGTACCAGTATAGGAAGGAACAGTGATATACCAGCATAGGAAGAAACAGTGGTGTACCAGTATAGGAAGGAACAGTGATATACCAACATAGGAAGAAACAGTGGTGTACCAGTATAGGAAGTAACAGTGATATACCAGCATAGGAAGAAACAGTGATATACCAACATAGGAAGTAACAGTGATATACCAACATAGGAAGGAACAGTGGTGTACCAGTATAGGAAGTAACAGTGATATACCAGCATAGGAAGAAACAGTGGTGTACCAGTATAGGAAGGAACAGTGATATACCAACATAGGAAGTAACAGTGATATACCAACCCAACATGGGAAGGAACAGTGGTATATCAACTTTAGAAGGAAAAGTGATATACCAACATCGGAGGGAACAGTGATTTATCAATTTCAGAAGGAAAACATAGGAATAAACAGTGGTGTATCAATTTCAGTAGGGAAAGTGATATACCAACATAGGAAAGAATAGTGGTTTATCAATTTCAGAAGAAAAACCCCCGACCCAACACTGCTATACCTCCACCAGCTTAATAAATGGAAGCATGAAGATAGATTCCTTAACTTTGGTGTCCTAGAAACTGAAGATAATTCAATCCAGATGAAGAAAGACTTGCAGACGTACTTGTACCAGTTACGTATAGAAGCAGACGTGGATGTGGTTGAAATGGTAGGTTGTTTCATTTTCTATCTGCTTATAGTTGTAGATGTCATGATATTGGACTAACAGACCATTTCTTTTGATAATTGTTTGTAAATGTAGTTGTTTGTAGATTTTAGTTAGTTAGTTAGTTAGTTAGTTAGTTAGTTAGTTAGTTAGTTAGTTAGTTAGTTAGTTAGTTAGTTAGTTAGTTAGTTAGTTAGTTTAGCTAGTTAGTTACTTAGTTAGTTAGCTAGTTAGTTAGTTAGTTAGTTAGTTAGTTAGTTAGTTAGTTAGTTAGTTAGCTAGTTAGTTAGTTAGTTAGTTAGTTAGTTAGTTAGTTAGTTAGTTAGTTAGTTAGTTAGTTAGTTAGTTAGTTAGTTAGTTAGTTAGTTAGTTAGTTAGTTAGTTAGTTAGTTAGTTAGTTATTTAGTTAGTTTAGCTAGTTAGTTACTTAGTTAGTTAGTTACTTTAGCTAGCTAGTTAGTTAGTTAATTAGCTAGTTAGTTAGTTAGTTTAGCTAGTTTGTTAGTTAGTTACTTAGTTAGTTTAGTTTAGCTAGCTAGTTAGTTAGTTAGTTAGTTTAGTTTAGTTTAGCTAGTTAGTTAGTTAGTTAGCTAGTTAGTTAGTTAAGATATGATCATTGCACTCCATAGTTGCTTAGATCCTTATTTCAACATGAAGCCCGGCGTCCTGTGACTAATAGTGCCAGTTCTTTGTTGGTTGATTAAGTCTTTTTGTAAGCCCGGTGTGTCCCTCGCTTTTGTCTATGCTGATCTTAACTCCTGAGTCTTTTATTCTGGTGAGCAATGTGAAATCGCTGTCTTAAAAGTCATCCACCCTTCCAACTTTCACGGATTAGGAACATGTCTGCGAATGAGGGAATTGAGTACCAGATAGTTGTAGACAATACATTCCCTCACACAGATCTAGATGTAGATGTATTATTGTAGATGTATTTGTTTATAGATGTGAGTGCAGTTTTGTTAGAGATGTAGATTATGTGAGAGGATGTTTATTTTTCTAGTTGTTTGTAGATGTGGCTATCATGTTGTTGGAATGACAGGTTCTTTTATTAGCTAGTTGTATAAAGAAAAAACTGTTGTTGGAATGACAGGTTCTATTATTAACTAGTTGTATAAAGAAAAAAACTGTTGTTGGAATGTCAGGTTCTTTTATTAGCTAGTTGTATAAAGAAAAAACTGTTGTTGGAATGACAGGTTCTTTTATTAACTAGTTGTATAAAGAAAAACTGTTGTTGGAATAACAAGTTTTAACATGTAGAATGTTTTTAAAGGTATCTTTTTTTTTTAGGTCAGTATCTGCTGTTTGCCACATAGTATCATATTTTAAAAATAAACATCCTAACCTGCACAGTCCGTGGCAACAACACTAGCCATGCGGCCTTAAATCCTCATGACTCCTCTGTCTGCACTGACCTAAAAATATGGATAGTTGGGACAGTTTTTTTTTTATGTCATATTTTATAAGCTGATGGTAGCCTAGCCAGAGTGTACCTGATTGCTTTGTATACTATGATGTTGTAAGGTCTTACATTATCAGTAACACCTTCAATCCATTTTCTTCCAGATCTTCCTCTGCATCTAGGTGTGCTTTCATTTTCATTTACCTGTTGTTATTGATGTCCACAGAGCACTGTGATGTTGTAAAGACTTACATTGTCTATAACACCTTCAATCCATTTTCTTCCAGATCTTCCTCTGCATCTAGGTGTGCTTTCATGTTCATTTGCCTGTTGTTATTGATGTCCTCAGAGCAACCAGGACATATCAGCATACACGTATGAGAGGACACTGATGATGGAGCAGAGAACAGACATGCTCAGCAAGATCAGGAATCAACAGTCTCAGGTTTGGTTTTCATTGTTGCTCTCAGTTCTGGATGTCTCAGTATGTCAGTTTTGTGTTACAGGATGCATAAATCTATTCATCATAGTATATAATATGTTTATGTGTTATAACAGACATTCTTCCTCTTCTTCTTCTTCTTCTTCTTCTCCTCCTCCTCCTCCTCCTCCTCCTCCTCCTCCTCCTCCTCCTCCTCCTCCTCCTCCTCCTCCTCCTCCTCCTCCTCCTCCTCCTCCTCCTCCTCCTCCTCCTCCTCCTCCTCCTCCTCCTCCTCCTCCTCCTCCTCCTCCTCCTCCTCCTCCTCCTCCTCCTCCTCCTCCTCTTCTTCTTCTTCTTCTTCTTCTTCTTCTTCTTCTTCTTCTTCTTCTTCTTCTTCTTCAGCATTCAGAGCCCTTGAGGTTCACAGCTGCAGATGTCACCCGCCTCTATTCATACAACCACTACGGTTTGTTGTAGTTAGAAATGTAGACATTCCAGTGCTTGTACTGAATATTTTGATGCTTTTGATAATGTTTATTACTTGATGTGTAAATGAAATGATGTAAGAATGGAGGGAGACCTTGAAGGGCAGAATGTTAGACGGGCCTGTGTGCCCAATTCTTAACCCTTTAAAAATAAAGTTTGTTCCTTTGTTCCTTCGTTCTCTGGTTGGTCTTCTCTTTCTGGTTAGTGACACCAAGTGTTAGCAGGTCTGTCTGGATATTATCTCTCCATCGTTTTCTTGGTCTGCCTCATGGTCTGCGACCATTCATCTCCCTCGTGTATACAGTTTTTCACTTCTCTGTCATCTGACATTCTTTAAATATGCCCCAATCATTTTGTCAATTAGCTCTCATGATGCCAGTGATCAGTGGTGATTTAAACAGATTATGAATTTCAACACCTTAAATATCTGTTATCCTATATTTTATGGGGTTCAGTGCCTAAAATACCTGTTGCCCTATATTGAATAGGGTTCAGCATGTGAAATATCTGTTATCCTATGGTGCAGGGCTATTCAAATTAAATTATCTAAGGGGCCAACATGTTAAAAATGGGATATGTCGCGGGCTAGAGGCCCTAGCCTAAGCATAAACAGATCATTAATACAATACAACTGGCACTGATCTGCTAGGTCTACATGGGCCAAATCTGACTTGCGAGCTGTCAGTTGAATAGCCCTGCTAAGGTGTGTTGTGTTCCGAATATCTGTTATTGTAATGTGTCATCTGTTATCTGATGTTGTTTAGTAGAAGATTTTAATTCAAAGGCAAGTACTGAGAATATGGGTGTTGAGAGAGCTATAGGAAAGGAGGAAAGTTGCCACAGTGAATGAAAATGGAGCAAAACTAGCTGAATTCTGCTAAACATTAGAGGTGCTATCTTTGCTCATATACTAAAACAGTTGACTAGTACTTTCAAAGTACTTAAAGATAGACTTCGTATGATGATGCTGAGCAAGAAGAAAAGATGAGCAGAACACTTCCAAGACACAAATAGACCTTATTCATGAGAACCAATGGAGTTTGATAAAGATGCAAGCTTTACAGATAGATGTCATGGAAATTAAAAAAAGGAAGTTAACCCTACTAGACCTGAGGCCCCGAACCTAACTGTCCCTATTACCTGAGCTCCTGGGCATTAACGCGAAAAAACCAACATGATGTACACAAATATTAGTTACATGCAAACAAGTGGCTAGAATATGATGAAACCTGGAGACATTGTAGAAAATAGGCTTACCTTTTATCTAGTGCCAATATTCCATCTTTGTGTGCGAATCCACTTAGCAGGATCAACTTTGTTTCACAAAGTGAACACCAGATGTTGCCGTTTGAGGGACACACCCCCTTCTCCTACTATCGATCTATTTCAAGATTTATAATTTTCAAGATTTTCCTCATCATTCGCGTTCTCACTGACGGTGTCACTTCGAGAACGTATTCTTTAATGAAATTATCACTCCGCAGAGTCTGAATAAACCAAAATATTGATCACCTGTTAGACTGTGAAAAGCCTAGAACTACTTGACTTTCCCGTTGAAGTGCTTGGTACATCAGCAGCTCATTTCATTGTGAATTTTCAGAATTTTTTCATGTAAAACAACACAAATATAATCTAAACATGCGGGCAGACTTTTGCAATGTCTAACAAAGAGGGTTGATAACGATTAGGTGGTTATTTTTAGTCCGTGACGCATCTTTTTCCAGTACTGCGCAAAAAAGCCGAAAATTAGGGCCAGCATCAGGTTAAGAAATTCCCGGGCAAGCGGGCTAGTGGTCTGGTAGGGTTAAACGAACTCCAGTAGGTGATAATGATATTACTGCGGAAATGTTGAAATCATTAGACTGTGAGAAAAAGATTTTTTTTTTGGTAAGGGTTTACTGTTTTAGATACTGTTATCCAGTATTAGATAAAGTTCCACATATGAGACAGTGCAGAAGCGCAAATAGATCATTACAGTCTGAGGAGAAGGATGCTGTGCGGAGTTGCTAGGGGATCTGGCCGATGCTCAACACTCAAGGGAAAGGTTAGATGAAAATACAATCAGACAGTTACTGGTGCCATCGGAAATTGAACTCTTCATTTGCTGCTGAAGATGGGGATGGAGCACTTATGGGAGTGTCCCAAATGCTATGAATCATAATTCCTAATTCAACATTCAGCATTCAACATTTGAGATATCCATTATTCTATGTTGTATAATCCACAGCAGCAACCCAGAGTCAACAATCGCAGTGCCAAAATCACCCTTTCCACTGTGCCTGAAGAGAGCAGCACAGACAACAATGACGTCACAGAGAGAGTGACGGCAACGGTTGACAAGTCCCAGTTTACCTTCACACCACAGGATGCCAAAACCATGATTGACAAGAACAAGAAGCCGTAAGATGATGATTGTTATCTTTGTGTGAATCAAATGTGTTTCGTGGGATTTTGTTGTTATTGAGTTCCGGTTCCAACATTGATAGAGAATGGATGACGGTTGAGAACTTGGCTTATGTTGACCGTTCTCGTCGTTGTTTCTCCTCTAATTTGCAAAGTTGTGGAAGACCAGTTTGCAGCCGGAGCTACTGAGTTTAGTGCTCCTGGCGGAACTATGAGCTGTGATTATTGGTTATTGACTGAGTTTCAGATTCGTACATAATGGCAATGATGGGTTATGTATTTTTCTTCGTTGTGTTCCTGGGACAAGGCATGAGCTATTTATTTGCTCGCCGTGGCTGCAACGCTCAGAGAACATGTGGAGAATGGTCAGGAAAAGTTGTAATCTACTCATCGCCCAGCTATTCGTCAAATGAAGTTAATTTTCAGCGATGACGCCTGGTCTCGCAGTTTGTTTAAGGAGGCATGCACCTTATGGTTTGCCAGATCAAATTGCTTGTGTTTTGCTGACTGAGGACACTTTGTATGGCTACAGCATTCACTTGAAGTATCCAAGTAGTAGGTTTTAGCCACACTATTTATCCATCTCTTTTCTCGATAATTTGTTTTTAGATTTCATACTGTTGGTTGGTTTATGTCATTTTCTCCCATGTTCTTTGTCTTTTTCAAATTGTGGCTAGTTTTTAGTTAAATAAGCAAAGGGCCCTTCTCATGTGTTTGGCGCACTGGGAATATAGCACTAGATCTGTATTTTTATTGACAGTCGGCTCTTGGTAAGTGATTCACCTCGGAGTGTTTGTTTATTTACATGCATTTTGTTGGTTTGTGTGTCATGTTCTTCCATTATTCTTGTGAGTTATTTTTATTAGTTTTTGTAAATATTTATTGTTTGCTTGTTCGTATTATGTTCTTTCATGTTTGTTGTGGGTGTTGTTTTTTTCACCATCAGCTCGCCCTGAAATAGGGCGGGACGGACATGTTTAAAATCACTATTGGTTTCATATAATATCACTTTATCCTAAAATCTTGAGTGGTCGCATATGATAGATGTTACTGAGGTTGATAAAGGAAGCAAGAAATTGTAATACTGTAACATCCCCTGTGCCCATGTGTGTCCAGGGCACTGATGTAAAGCCTGTCAAGGCCCTTTGGGAACAAGCAATGGAATCAGTAGAGCTAGAAGAAGAAGATGATGATTATGGCCTGGAGAGAATGAGGCTCTCTGGGTGTAAGCAGAGGGTCTAGCCTGCTCACTACACTCAGAGGAAAGGCAAGATGGACATATGAGACTGTGACCAGTACCTTGAGTATTGGAACTCTGCGCTGGCTGCTGAAGATAAGGATGAAGAATGCATAGAATGCTGTGAGTGATGTTATGTCAACTATTGCTCAACTCAACTCAACTCAACTCATGTAAAGCCAAGAATAGTAACACTGCACTCTACCAGAGGCAACTATGGCTAGGGTTTGGATTGGGGTTGGCTACCTCATCCCGTAAAAAACACAGTAGCTACAAATCCCAACCGGCAACCTCATCCTGTAAAAACACAATGGCCACAAATCCCAACCGGCTACCTCATCCTGTAAAAACACAATGGCCACAAATCCCAACCGGCTACCTCATCCTGTAAAAACACAATGGCCACAAATCCCAACCGGCTACCTCATCCTGTTTAAAAAAAAAAAACAGTAGCTACAAATCCCAACCGACCATTTTGTTCGTCCGAATGGTGTAATTTTTTTTTGCCTGTTTAAAGCTGTGATATTTGCAACTTTTGTTCAACACATCAACTTCATCAGGGATTTGTTCACCGGGTCAGCCTTCCCATAAAAAGAGAAACAGTGTTAAATTAGGAATCGACATAACGGCACTCGGGACACTCCCATAAGTGTTCCGTCCCCATCTTCAGCAGCAAGCAACGAGTTGCAATTCCGATGGTACCAGTAACTGTCTGATTGTATATCCGTCTCATCCTTCCCCTGAGTGTTAAGCGTCAGCCAGATCCCCTGGTGATTAAAAAATAGAGATACAATGAATACCTTGCCAACCAAGATGAGGGAAACACTTTTTATAGAAGAATGATGGTGTGCTATGGAGAAAGCCGAAAAGAGTCATTGATGCGCCTTATTTCACCTAGGGCACTGGAAGTCACAGGGGCATAGAAATAAAGGCAGACCGAAGAAACATGGAGAAAAAAGCTAGAGAGTAAAATTTTAAAATGGGGACATGAAGTGGTTTGCAGTAGCTAATGATATGATGACCTTCTGTGAGTTAGTTGAGGGCCTACGCTCCATTGGGGGATAAAGGGCAGAAGAAGAAGAAAAAAATTCCATGCATTCTGTAAGAGATAACTAAGGAAGGGTGGCATGGAATGGGCCACTCATCCCATAGAAAATTTTATTTCCAAATTCAATTTTGATGAACAAGTCTAGAAAAAAAGAAACTAAATAACCAACCAAGATGAAAGGCTCTTCTCTTTGCAGAAAAAGGAGAATGGATTGCCACATTATTCCCTTTCCCTAGGAAAATATCTAGATTACACCCTTTCCCTCAGGAAAATATCCAGTTTACTCCTTTGCCCTCAAGTAAATCTCCAGATTACTCCCTTTCTCCAAAGAAGATCTCTAAATTACTTCCTTCCCCTCAAATAAATCTCCAGGTTACTCCCTTTCCCTAGGAGATTCTCCAGATTACTCCCCTTTCCCTAGGAGAATCTCCAGATTACTCCCCTTTCCCTAGGAGAATCTCCAGATTACTCCCCTTTCCACAGGAACACCCCTAGAAAACTTACTCCATTTCCCGCAGGAAAATACTCTAAATTGCGTCCTTTGCCTCAGGAGAATTAACAGAAAAAAAAAATAGATTGTCAACCTAACCCTAACCCTAACTCTGTAACACTGGGAGTTGTGTTGATATTGCAGGGACAAAGAGAATGTGAGACGGATGCATACAGCCGTCAGACTCAATGAGCACATTGTGGAGAAATCTCATGGAGCCCAACTGGTCATCCTCAACCTGCCCGCCCCGCCAAGATCTGCTGCTGGTGCTGAGAATTGTATCCTTTTATATGGTGTCTATTTTGTAGCATTTATTGCGTAGTGTCTTTTGTGTGTGTCTTTTGTATTGTATACTCCTCTGTGTGTTTGTGTGTGTGTGTGTATTATGATATAATTTGTGTAGTGTCTTTTGTATGATATCTTTTCTGTGGTGCATTTTTGTGGGTTGTCTCTTGTTATGACATCTTGTCTGTTGTGTTAGTTTATGTGGTGTCTTTTGTATGGTGTCTTTTATGTGGTGTATTTTATGTTCTACAATAATTTCCTACAATCAACCTTTGAAACAATGTCACCAAACTGATACTCAGAATTATAATGAAGCCCAATGGTCGTAGGTTCAAATCCCTATTGAATCTGATGTATAAAAATGGCATGTTCTACCATGTTTGCCAAACCTGTAATGGGTACCATAAAATGTCTCTGGAAGTTAAGCTGGCTGGTATTATAGTGGCCATTCACCCACAGAGAAGTATCTGAGGAAATCTTGTCTGATAGGAATCAGTTTAATTTTTGTGCCAGTGCACTCTGGGGTGAGAGGGAATGATTGAGCGGATTGGCTAGCTGGCAGGGCCAGGGTATGTAATAATGAACCAGGCCAATGTTCTCAGTGCTCTCAAGGAGGCAGGATGGGTAGATGATGCAGAAGAAGAGGGTGAACCAACAACTTTGAGAAGACAACAAGAACAAGATTATTATGGCCTGGGGAGAATGAGGCACCTGGGTGTAACCAGAGGGTCTGGCCGGCTCAGTACACTCAGAGGAGAGGCAAGACAGACATATAATCATATTATGACCGGTTCCATCAGTATTGGAACTCTGTGCTGGCTGCTGAAGATGAGGACGGAGCACACATGGGAATGCCCCGAGTGCTGTGATGACAGTTCTTGACTCAACTCAACTAAAAAAAAAAAAAGTATAGTAAGCCAAAAAACAGCTTGTGTTATCAGTCACCACATGCTAAGGGAGATACTGAAGATGGAATCTGAGGTGTTTATAAACTTGTTCAAGTGGAATGAGGAAGATGAGTGAGTTACCTAACTAACCCACATGGTCTTCAGCATAGATAATCACATGATCTAAGCAGCAGTCATCTGGTGCTATTGTTATATACATCTCTACAACAGTTCGATGATCACATACTGTCAATAGTCAACCTCTTGCTGCAAGGTCTTGAGGCATAGTGTCCGCGTCGAGTGCTAGAGGTTCTGAGTTCAATCCCAGTAAGGGCTGGGATTTTTTTTATGTGAGCTTGGACTTCTTGTAATTCCCCCTGGTCTCTGGGTGGTGAGATCGGACTCCTGTATGCATTGTTGCACATGTAAAAAAATCCCTTGGCAGTTGAAAACCGAAAACAGTAGCCTAACGGCGCTCCCCAGGCAAAATTTTGAGTTAAAAATCTACTCAAAGTATTTCAGGATCCTCTCCGGTGCTACAGAGCCTGTGCACTGTGCTGAGCTTCTTCAGACTCAGACTTCAGTTAGAAGAAGAAAGGTGCACTTATGGGTTACTACCTGTGTGCCATGATGTTGATCCGTTGTTTAAACAAAACAAACAAACATCTTAGTTCTTTTCATAGATGTGATAGTGTTTATCTGTTATTATGTGAAATTTTATCATTATATTAATATGATTGCAACTTTATTTCCTGGTATATTTCGCTGTATCTCGTCAGGTGCATACTACAGTAATAACTGATTAAAATGAAGCAAATAAGTGAATCCTTCAAACTGGAACACTGTCACTGTAGTATGCACCTGACGAGATACAGCCAAATATGCCAGGCAATAAATTGTGCAATCTATCGTTTGTGTCTTCTTTGTTCTTCTTTGTTCAAATTCACAACAGTAAAACACTACTTTGATTACATTAATACTTGTGATCTTGTAATTCTGGTTTGTGTAAAATATTTTCTTTATAACAATACTTGTGATTTGGTAGTTCTTTTCAGTGTGGCATTTATTGTCATTATCACTGTGTTGATACATGTGATCTTGTCCTCGTGTCAAATGTTATCACTTTGTTGATACATGTGATCTTGGCCTTGAGTCAAATCTTATCACTGTTGATACATGTGATCTTGGCCTTGAGTCAAATCTTATCACTCTGTTGATACATGTGATCTTGTCCTTGAGTCAAATCTTATCACTCTGTTGATACATGTGATCTTGGCCTTGAGTCAAATCTTATCACTCTGTTGATACATGTGATCTTGGCCTTGAGTCAAATCTTATCACTCTGTTGATACATGTGATCGTGTCCTTGAGTCAAATCTTATCACTCTGTTGATACATGTGATCTTGTCCTTGAGTCAAATCTTATCACTCTGTTGATACATGTGATCTTGGCCTTGAGTCAAATCTTATCACTCTGTTGATACATGTGATCTTGGCCTTGAGTCAAATCTTATCACTCTGTTGATACATGTGATCGTGTCCTTGTGTCAAATCTTATCACTCTGTTGATACATGTGATCGTGTCCTTGAGTCAAATCTTATCACTCTGTTAATACATGTGATCTTGTCCTTGTGTCAAATCTTATCACTCTGTTGATACATGTGATCTTGGCCTTGAGTCAAATCTTATCACTCTGTTGATACATGTGATCTTGTCCTTGAGTCAAATCTTATCACTCTGTTGATACATGTGATCTTGGCCTTGAGTCAAATCTTATCACTCTGTTGATACATGTGATCCTGGCCTTGAGTCAAATCTTATCACTTTGTTGATACATGTGATCTTGGCCTTGAGTCAAATCTTATTACTGTATTAAAAAGTGTGATCGAGCCATGTTATTGTGTAAGATCTTGTTCTTATTTTAATATATGTGACGTTGTAATTGTGTTATTGCAGGAAATCTTGTTAGTATGTTGAAACACATAATTGTTTTGTTGTGCGAAACCTTGTAGTACTGCTTACAGCCAATTCAACTGGTGGCCCGCAGGCTCAATCTGGCACACGGAGACCTAGAAAGTGGCCCTCAGGCTCAATCTGGCACACGGAGACCTAGCAAGTGGCCTGCAAATCATTGCCATGTAAACACCAGTGCAAGTCAAACTCGAGTGAATTACAACAGACAATGAAGTTCATATTAGAGAAAACATTGCAGATATAGATAATCTATTTCAAGTGAACGAAAAAAGAAAAAGAAGAAGAAGAAGAACAAACTTAATTAACATGAAGCACTGCCATTTGTACTGTAGTAAACTTAGTTGAATAGCCCTGGCTTACAGGTATGGTCTGGTATCCAACTATTGTCCAGTGTTACCTGTTGAAAGGTGCAGCATCTGTCAATCTCAAGATGTGTCTGTAAAACTTCCTTAACCAGGGATCAGATATGGAGTTTCTGGAGGTGCTGACTGAGGGCCTGGAGAGGGTTCTGATGGTCAGGGGCAGTGGACGAGAGGTCATCACTATATACTCCTAACTGGCACCTGGACACAGGACATTCGTCTGGTAGCTGATCACAGATTTCCACTCGGCATTATCAGTCACACAGGGATCACGACAGATTTCATATTTATTAAGTGAAATTCATATTTATCAAGCTACTTTCATATTTGTCAGGCTACTTTTCATATTTATCATGCTAGGTTCATATTTATCATGCTAGGTTCATATTTGTTAAGCTAGATTTGATATTTATCAAGCTAATTTCACATTTATCAAGCTGGTTTCATTATTTGAAGCTAGTTTCATACTTATCAAGCTAGTTTTATATTTATGAAGCTAATTTAAATTTTTCAAGCTAGTTTTGTGTTTATCAAGTTATTGAACTACTTATCAAACTAGTTTCATATTTATCAAGCTAGTTTCATATTTATCAAGTTATTGTCATTCAATTTGTATTTGGTTGACCTAGTTGCACAAGAAATTGGTTCCACACATGGTCATATTTTGAACAAAAAAGATGCAAACAGTAGGTTGCACAATTTATTGCCTGGCAGTTTTGTTGTTTCTCATCAGGTGCATACTAAAATAACATTTGATTAAAAGGAAGCAAAGAAATGAATCCTTCGAACAGAATCACAACCATTCCTGACAAGATACAGCAAAAAATATGCTAAGCAATAAATTGTGCAATCTATTGTTTGTCTTCTTTATTCAAATTCACAATGGGGAAACATTGTTTTGATGGTCATATTTGACAGACCGCTTACTAAAAGTTGTATTTTACTAATTGGTCACAAAGAAAGTTGTATTTGGCAGAAGTGATTACATGAGGAATCGTAGCTGATAAATTAGTTATACCTATAATTTTATTTGACAGACCAGTTACACAAGAGATTATATTTTATTGAATGGTCATAAAAAAGTTGTGATTGGTGAAGAACTTTAGTTTTAGTTAACTTAATGATAACAGAGAAAGTTGTATTTAAACTGATTATCTCACAGACAGTTGAATTTCATAAATCTGTTACATCAAAAGTTACACATAACAAATGCCTGACACCAAAAATTACATTTTAAACTCTAGTTTTATCTGACAAACTTTTTACTTCATAGTTGTATTTCTTCTTCTTCTTCACATTCAGTGGCTGTGAACTCCGGTCAAAAGTTCTGGCTGTTCATCTGATCCTGGACTTTAGTCTTGTTCCAGAACTTAAGTGTTGCTTGCACATTTGTGTTAGAGATCTGACTTATTTTACACAGACTAGGTCCCTCGCCTCTCAGGCAGATGTGCTCAGGCTTTGAAGTAAACACCTGAAGAAGTCGAAATTTATGACATGCTAGTTAGGGGGTAGTGATTCTATTTCCTCAGAACCCACAAGGATGGGAGGGGGGGGGGGGGTGAGTTGTATTTGAATAATTAGCTATATCCAGAGTTGTATTTGAGACACTCATTATGCTAAAATTTACATTAACCGCAGACTAGTTTAGCCATATATCACTGGTTTGACAAATGTGTGTTTTTAAATAATGAGGGGTAACTTCTTCTTCTGCCTTTCTAGCCCCCAATGGAGCATAGGCCCTTAACCAACTCACTCCAAGTTGTTCTATC